TTGGTGAGGATTATATTCTATTCAATTAAATTCATCTTCGAAACGTACTTCATACTAAACAATCAGAGGCACTCGAAAGTAATCTCTAAACCCAGTTTTAGATATTGTTGACAATCATTAATTAAACCTACCTGTAATACTTATCAGATATTTTACAGACTCATAAAGAACATATCGCTTATCACTAGAATGAAACGTTTCGATAAGCTTTGAGATATTGCCAAAAGGATGGGAGATTTAGTCTTTAACAATCAGAAAACATAATAAAGATACATAATTACAGAATGACATTAAAATGAAATGTTTCATGTTTCAAGCGATCGATACATATGATCGGATTTGGCTTACATATTTTGTCATCAGAAGTTATTCTTAGTATTACATTTATACAACATTGTTGATTAGCCATTATTACACCATTGTACTACACTGACAATAGTTGATAAGAATTTCTTATGAATTTTTCAATATCTCAGGTGTTTTACAAACATATTTCAAACTAATTCTTTGTAAGTTATGTTACATTGTCATTTAAGAGATACAATTTTAGACATTATTTTTAGCTATAACATCATACTACGTTTAAATGTGTGAAAATGTCTGGTTTTTTGAAATACTAGTAGTTTAAGAATTATAAAATAGTCTGATTGCACTGATGTAATCGTGAATAAATCAATCAATGTATTCCAATACTTATTCAGTAACTAACTTTCATATGGTACACAGCTGTATCTATTGTATAAATAATTATATAAGTATCGTATTATTACACAAGTATGTCCAAATTTTATTATTTTTTTTAACAGTATAATGACTATTCATTGAACTAAATAACTAATGAAACCAGTTTATAATCAATTATAATATTTAACCATATCGTCAACTCCATTTTCAACACTTCAGAATCAAATGTGTGAATGTTAACACATTCAGAATAATTTCATCCTACAAATTAACCATACAAAGTAATAAATAGCACCTATTGATGACATATTAATGATGACCGTATATATATATATATATATATATATATATATATATATATATATATATATATATATATATATATATATATATATATAGCCTGAATGAGACGATTTTTGTTACACACTGATCTCCACTGACGAATACTTGAAAACCATAAAACAATGGACTTCCGTTTCTGCTTTACTTTGAGAGACCTTAATTATGTGTACTCAAAATTCAGGTTTTATAATAATGACTACATTATTCAGTAATTGTAATACGATTATTGTATTAAAACGTTGACGGTAAAATGTAGTAGACTTAATTGGAGAATTCTATTTGTGGCTACTATGATATAATTTCAGACAATTTATAAGTATAATACTGGCTGGAAATGGGTTAATATTTTTAGATGCCCTTACCAGTTATTTGCAATCAATTTATCAGCCAGTGATTCTTCCAGCATTATTCATCTTTACTACCTATATGACTTTAGCAGGTTAATTCTGTTCTGATCAAAGTTCTGATGCCTTCGTCCATTACTTTTTTTATTTATAAATATGCTACTGAAACATAAATAAGTAGTTCAAAGTAGAACTCTAGAAGTATTGTTTAAAATTTTTGAATCAATCAACTTAGATCAGGAAGCAGAGTATCCGTAATGAAAGTAAAATTGTGTAGAATTTCCTGGTTTCTCCCTACCAGAATTAACTTTGTCAGCAATTCTAAGTATGCATATCTATCATTATAGGTTAGTGAATAATATATAAGCTACATTTTAAGATTTAGAAGAAAATTCTTTTATTTTTTATTTTTAAAACATGTACCTAAAAGGTATATAAGTAAACTAAAGACCTTTTTGTTGAATAGTATTGTTGGGATAATTACTTATAGCGAGTCATTATCTGGAGATGGGGTAGGGTAAATGGTAACTATTAGAAATGTCATGTTCTCTAATTTTTATTTTGTCTCACTATACATAATCTTTAAAGAGTAGGTATTTTATTCATCCCTTTTTCAAAAAGCCAAACTCCAGCTTAAAAACTCGTTAGTCGTCTCAGAGTACTCAGATGATACAATTCGGTTTGATAAACAGGTTAAAAGGGACAATGAATAAGCGTTCAGAAGGGGTTTCTTTTAAATGCTAATTGTTGTCTCAGGATTCATTTGTACAAATATCTAGTCTTGCAATACATGATAAAAAGAACAATCAGTTTGACCTTTCTATTTGTTCTATCTCATTACTCTTGTAGGTTTATCTGCTGACCGAATTCTCGTTTAACTTCAACCCCTTCTATCTATGAAGCAAGCAATGTATCTGCTTTTAAATCAGAGAAAAAGTATATCGCTCACTAATCGTTTCTCTACTACTTCTAGGCACGGTTTTGAATATAGAAACATGTAGGTCGTCGTTATTCATAAATAGTAAAGCCCTCTAAGCGGCTGATGCTGCGGTTGGTCGAATAGTTTCAAATAAATGTATTAAATCCCTTGACAAAGCTATGAACATTCGTCTGTCTAGGGATTTGAATTAAACGTAATTCATGCTCATCAACTATTTAGCCAAACAAACTGTTCTAGTCAATAAGCTTGGTTTTATCCAGAAGAACACACTAATGGCTATGCAGACTAATAAACATCAGGATTAATATATGTTCGTTTGCTGTATTATTTATTGTGCTGAGATACACTCAAAACATGAACTAATTTGGAACTGATTATGAAAAATAAACTGATATTTAAGCAGAATAATGACAGAATTTTTGATAATGATTCATTTGTAAGTGTTGTTTGAATTTTTCCGTTGTGAATGTTAAGGACTTCAACTAATCAATCACCTTTGGCATATGTTCATCCTGTACGAATTAACTCGATATAACTACTAAATTATAATTAAAACACGAATTTCAGCGAAGGGATCTCTTTTCAACGAATTTATTATCAAGCTGTACAATCGTATATATATGAAAATTTTGTTTTTGTAAAAGTACTAATTCCGTGAGGAAATGTGAACACAGTTAATAAAAAGGGTTATAATACTAGATTACGTAATATGAATAATAACAATAACAATCGATTTAGTGAATATAATAAGATGATTAAAATGTTTTGATATAATAATTAAAGGTCATAGAGGTGTAAAAATAAATATGGTGATATGATGAGTATTCACAAATAAAACAATGAGAATATAAGACATAAGTAAAGGGGGGAATAATAATAATAATAATTGGATAATCAAAATACTTAAGGCCAAGGTAACGATAACGATAAGACGTACTTCTTTTGTACGCATAGTTCTGGTTTAAGCTCCTGAATGGTAAGAGCTTCGGCTATTTTTAAAAGTTGGATGCGAAGAAATATGGGTAGACTTGAACGAATCATATAAACAACCTTAAATTCATTTCTTGGATCTGTGGAATGGTTACAGTCGATTAGGTGTTCAAGTATAGAACTCCTAACTGCTTTCCTTTCACCCTTATAGAACCAAGCTGGGATATGTTCCCGTACCCGAGTTGAAAGCGAGAGCTGGCTACGGCCAATGTACCTTGCTCCACAAGAGCAGGTGAACTGGTAGATGCACATAGAGGCAACCAGACGCGGAAGCTTGTCTTTTATGGACACAGAAAATAAGTTCCTACTCGTGAAGGTTATTCGCAATTTAGCTGCATTAAATGTTCTTCTTATAGTTGTTGTTAGACGATTTTTGATTACTTCTGATGTTCGATCACCTTTAATTTCCAGACTTATATAAAGGTTTTTCTTCGTAACGGAGCAACTAGGTTTCTTGTCACAACTACTTCTATTCATATTCTTTTCTATGAACCGTTCTGGGTAACCATTTTCCGTCAGGGTTTTCTTGAGGAATTCAAGTTCTTCGTTAATGCATTCCTTACTGAATATCTGACGTATTCGATAACATAAAGAGTGGATGAGATTTCTCTTTCTACCTAACGGAACCCAGCTATAGAAGTTAGTTAACTGTCCATTCCATGTTTGTTTTCTAAAGATGGATCTTCTTAAAGAACCATTACTCCTTCTCATCAGACGTACATCGAGAAAAGGAATCGATTGGTCCCGTTCCCTTTCTAACGTGAAGTCTATAGAAGGGTGGCATGAGTTAAAGGTGTTTAAAATATCCTCTAAATCAATATTATTGTCGCAAACGATAAACGTGTCGTTCATATATCTAACGTATAGGTGGAATCGATTGATCATTGAACGAAGTTGGTCGTTTTCTAGTTTTGCCATGAAATTATCATTTTCCAGTATTATTTACATTTTATTAGTATTACATTTTACCTCTGTTTCAACATTTTATTTTATCATGCTGAGCCATCCTTTCTCAATGATAATTTCCCTATCTATCTTTTGGTGAATACTTAAGCTATTAACAATCAAACGATTATTAAACTTCCCATGTTTTGAAAAATTTTTTAATACCTTTGTTTATTTAACCTCACTGTCACCATGTATAACAAGCTTATTATCATATGATTTTGAGATGGTGGAGAAGATTTGTAGCTCAGGTGGATGATTTTGGTGGAGCTCAGAGAACAAAACTCCATCAAAAAAGCTTATTATCAGTATAATTATTATCCTATAAAAATAAGTATATATATTTGCGATTGTACAGCTTTGAAAATGAATTCGCCGAAAACAGAACTCTTCACTGAACTAATCGTTCTTATTTAATATCGCAATGAGTAGAAAAATTAGAATTTCTGATGTTTTGTGACTCAATGTAAGCCACTTCTTCAGACCTTGATAATGATACTTATTTTACACTCTATTTTATTTATTTTTACCTGTTGAAGTATTTTTTAATTTGTAAAAATAACATTTAAGTTCGTATTAACCAATCGAGTTAGAATATTTCTTAATCCTTTGAAGAAGTACCAAATAGGTAGATACAGTTTTCATTCTATAAAATGGTAATGTATAAACTAATAACACAGAAATGAAATATTATCATTATGACATTCTAAAACTTATTCCAATCAATTGATTTTCATTTTACATTTACATTTTAGATGAAAAAACACGAAAAGTTGCAAATAATTCACTTGTCAAATTTACAAAACGCATTAAACGAGAAATTGAAAAGTCCAATAAATTATCAGTATCTTATTCTCCAAACATACAAAAATTCATACCAAATTTAATACCTGATTTACAACGAACATATAAAAATAGAATCATATTAAATTGTCCACATTTAAAACATTTAAGAAATAATATTGAAACTATAGAAAATAACTATTTAATAAAATGTATCAACATTCAATGTCATATAAAACATTTTAAACATGGTGATACAGTAAGATTAAAATGGATTGGATGGTTATGGGCTGAAACATTTTTCAAACTAAAAAAATCTGATATACAATTTATAAGTAGATTAAACATTGATCATTGGGGTGAATTACCTTTAATTATTAAAGCTTATTATAATATAGAAAAAAATCTTTCACAAAATCAAAGTTATACAATAAATACTGACAATAAGTTTATGAATATCAAATATTCATCTGATAATTATTTTGAACTTAAACAATCAATCATTTTTCATGGTGTTCAATTGAAAATAACTCATAAAGTACCATTATGGCCAATGATAGCCGGTTCAATTGTTGGTTTATGGATTTTAATGATTTTAAGTGCATTATTATATTGTTGTGGATTTTTCACCAGACGAAAAAAATATTCTACATTAAAAACAAGAAATATTTCATTTTCCCATGAAAATAATCATCATCATGAAAAGAATCATGATAACAATAGTACTAGTAAGTTTTTTGATTGGTCATCTTCACAAGATTCATTTATTAAAACCGAAGATAATCATTGTCTTTTAAAACTACCAATACCGATAAAAAAGAATCAGTTTGAATTCGATAACAATGTAGAAACGGGTCAATCCAATTTCAATGATAAATTACTTTCACATGAACATGTTAAAAAGAATAATTTACAAATGATCAATAATGAATATCAACAGAACTTATTTAAAACATTGATAGAATCTAATGAGCCCAATGAAAATGATGATTGTTTTAGTCCATTATTAAACCAATCAAAATTTCTATTATCTGAACAACATCAATCACAACAATTAGAAGCTATTGAAGAAGATAAAGAATCATCTAAATCATCAATTTCTCTTAGCAACAATTTTTAATTATGAAGATATGAGAATTTTTTTTGAAAAACAAAAAAAACTAATCATAGGTCTTAAAAAATTCTAAACACCCCTGTTTTATAGCACAAGCTTCATATAAATCTATGTTTTACTTTTATTCCTTTCATTGTTTCGATGTCTTTTTTACTCACTGAACCATTATTCAAACTTCAATGTGTAATATAAATGTTTAAAATGGTAGTTTTGTGTTTACAATCTCAACTTTGATGATAACTAATTAACTTACGTTTTCAGTATAATAATTTTATTGAATATTTGGAATGTCAATGTATCTCTAGGAAACTTTTCATAAAAAAATAATTGTTTTCCTTTTCATGTGAATATTTATTGAATAAAAAGATTTATTATAAGTTTCTCTAAATACATTTAGTAAGAATAAAATAGTTCCTGATTGTTTTATTTGATATTTTATCATTTTGATTCATTTAATTCTGTTATATTTTATATTCAATGATAACCATGGGTTTATTGTTGAGCCTAACTATTATGGAAGTTTAATGAGGGTCACATTCAGTGTTTATCTTGGCAACTATGATTAGCAAGGAAATCGATTCCCCTAACATCCCTATACAGAACAAGACAGAAACTAGTTAACCAACGATCCTTCAACCATATCTTCATGCTTGATGTCACTCTATACAACCGTCACACATCCAGTTAAGTGCATCCATAAAAAGCAATGTTCCATTTTCCAGATGATAGACGACATCAGTTGATATAAATCGACGATCTTTCGCATGTAATCGAATAAGTTCATCAGTAAGTCGAATATTCCAGTGATAGATTACCACTGCTAAAATTCTATGAAGTAAAATTAATCTTGTACAAATGAAAGCAGCACCTTATTAAGCGAAGACCAGCATGATATTTTGGTTATTAGACTGTTTTGTCAGTACAGAGTTGTGGAGATTGTTAAATTTCATTGGAATACCGAATCAATCTAAGTTAAACAACTGGATGGATATTTTGTCCTGGTATTTGACTCTTTAGCAGTGTGCACTCACTACCCTGAACGCAGGAACTGAATCCTGGATCTTCGGTCTCGCAGACGAACGCCTAGCCTCCAGATCACTGATCCGGCATCCAATGGTAATAATGTTTGATTTCAGTCAGTCCACGAAAATACGCGACCATTTTCAACCGTCTCTGTTGGATGACCGACTTACACTCGAAATGGTTAAGCTCCATTGGTCATAGCTGCTCACTAGAACTCCAGAAACTTCTTTTCGAAGCTAGTTACTAAAGAACACATGATATTAGACTACTTATAGATTGCATCAGTAAGTCTTACATTGAAATGTTTTTTAATTAAAAAAAGCAAATTTGTTTTATTAATGTTGGCTAGTTAACTGTAATATCTTAGAATAAATGAACTATTCTCACTCATCTGAACAAATCACCTAGTTGTACGATAAAAAATGCCTACGAGAGTAAATGTAAAATGAATAATATCGGTACTATATAACATTTGCTATTTACATAAGCTGAGTCTTAAACCAGTTTAGACAAAAACAATCCTAAGTGTTAGACTTCTACAAACTTTTTCTTTGACTAATAAGTATGTCTACCGAAGCTAGCTGGTTATTTATCCTTTCATCAGAAGATTGACTAATGTCCCATAGTTAATTAGTAGATAAGTGTCACCTTTGTATTTGTCTCTGTTGTTACTTATATATTTCTAATAAATACAATTACAATATATGATATAAAAGCACGTCGGCTAGTAAGGGTCTCAAGGTACAACACTTAAAAATACTACCAATCTGTTGAACATGTTCACTTCTGAAAGTGGAACGGAACGTATGAGTGAAAAACGATAACATGAAATTATTAACAGACATATGAAGAAAGGATTATGATAGATCTAACTGTGTAGGGACATCAGGAGTTTTTCTTTCTGGGTTAATTAGTAAACAGAGAATTTAAATAAATAGGATATAGTTCTATCTTTGGCATTAATATCCGTGAGCAAGTTGGTAGGTCAGGATGAATCTATGAGAAAAAAGGGATTTAAGAAATTAATGTGTCATCAAAGTATTCGGAATTTTCTACACTAGTAAACCACAAAGTTATGATGAGCTTAATTTTCTCGCTATACTCTCTGTTGCTGCTGAGGCAATGGTTTTAAACTTAGATACCTGTCATCAGAAAATGATTTTCGTCAGAAATGTAATGTGCAATCGTCGAATATTAAGGGGCATTGAACAGCCGTTTCGTCCAAATGTGGGACTCTTGAGAAGAGCGTAATTGAGGCACTATTCCTAAGAGACTTCAATATTTATACTACTGAGTTCGAATTCGACAGTTAAGGTTTCCGACTATAGTCGTTCAGCAATACAGCGCGAAACTCAGTCACTCGTGAGTATACGAGAACTGTTTCGTTTTCAATGGTTCGTCGGTCGACATTAAATGCGACAAAAGTCACTTGCAAATTGAATTGGTCTCCCCAAATTATTCGAACAAATAATATCTACAATGGTCGATCAAGTCAATAAAAATATCAACACGGTAGATATTAGCTGATACAATACACAGAATAATGAAAAAAAGATTACATTAGATTGTTTTTTTTATAAACAATAATAATTATATTGGAACAGCAGTACCATCACTATTTAAATTAATCTACCCATTTTAAAAGAAAAGTGAAACGAAGGCGGAAGTAGTCACACAAGAATGATGTGTGTGTTTCTGTGACATAGAACACTCACATACATATATATTTACATACAGACGATTAACAACAGAAGGCAACCAAACAAAAGATGAGTATCATAATATTAATTAAAAACTAAAACGAGAATGATGATTATGAGGTGATTAATGAGAATAATAATAATTATTATTATTATTGTTATCATTTAAAAGATTTATTTGTTTTTGTTGGTTTATTTTCTTTAAAGTTTTATGTGGAAGAACTGTTAGTGGTGACGGACAGACGTGTTTTTTTTCTTTTTAATAGAAAGAGAGGGAGAGAGAGAAATACAAACATATAAGCACACACACACACATTTACCTATTTATTGATTTATGTACACCTGATTTTTAGGAAGAAAAAATGAAAAAAGATGATCTCGATAGAAATAAAAAAAAAGAAAGAAATAGAGGTTGATAATAATCCTGTCGAAAAATTAACATGACGACTAATGGTTGTAAAAGGTTTGATAAATAGTATAAATATAACTATATACTCTTGACTAAATATATGCACAAATACTGAAAATATATCCAAAATGACACAAATCTATAAAATACTCATATCTGTTTGATAATTTTATATATAATACACAATATATGAAGTTAAACAGCATATTATATATATATCAGCTAATTTTGTCTAAAAGAAACTATTTATATCACTTTGGTATACTCCATCATAATATGTATATATTGGATAATGTAACGAAATATTACGTAAACACACATAGAAACAAATAACTAACATTTTCAATGGACTCAAAAGAAAGATTTTTTTAAAAAAAAACAAGAGTGAAATTAAACATGAAATAACAGTTAATTAATAATTGAAACAACTGATATTACATATTATAAAAAATAAATTCCATCAATTATGATTCATTTGAGGTAATGAACATAGAATGTTTTGTTTTAATTTTATAAATAATCTATTGTTAATAGTGATAAATTAAAAAATAACTATTAAAGAAATTAATTAGATAAGGATATATCCATAAAATGAAATGTAACTAAAATATGAATCTATATGCATATATAGTCTAGAGGGCAAATATAGATGAATTGTTTTCATGAATACATTGTAATATTAGATATTAGATATTTCTATTTGTAACTGTTCCGTTTATTAAATAAATGCTTAATAACATGGAAGATCACTGAAAAATATTTGACTACTGAGTATTTGAACAAGATAGAAATATTATTTACACATGAACATTCATGATAATGCTAATGATCAGGCTATAAAATGTATTGATTGATTTGTAATATTTGATGATTACTATTACATTCGTCATGGTATTGGCTGAGGTGAATTCAACCATACAATAGGTCCAGTATTAGTGAATATGATTTCTTTAACACGGCTATAAGCTGTTTCATAATCATCAGTTGTGATAATTGCTATGTAATCAACAGAAAATAGAAATCAAATGAATGAAGATAAGTAAGGGAGGAATACAGAAAAAATTAACAGAGATATTTGTAAGCGTCAATAGAATGTCACGATTTGTACACTCTATGAATAGACCTATCTAGATTATACAGGGATGTTTCTCTGTACACACAGTCGTCCATATAGTTTCATAATATCGATCACCGAAAGCTTCTGTACTATAGCTTATAATTCACCTAAAACAAAACCCAAACAATCGCTAGAACTTATCTCAAAAAAACGTCTATGGTTTACTAGTATATATTGATCATAAATATTCTGTTTTCTTCATTGATACTTCGAGATTGGTATCAAAACTTTCTCACAGTAGACTGACAATGCCCCAAGATACAATTTTTATTTGCAAAGTATGTGACTGGTTTAAGAAAGTATACTTCATAAAAATTTTAAATACTGATTCTGCATAAATTTCACTCTATAGTAGTCTCATTAAAAAACGCTTGCTGATGGACTTGAACTGAAAGTTTTAACAATGACATATTATTTAAATTACATTTTTCTGTTTTTAGTTTAATAAAATGAGTATCTTGTAACAAATACTACTGATTAATTCAAAACCGAGACGAATAATTTACATTATATTACTTGATTAAGAATAGTTAGTCTTCTAAGATTTCTTCAAAATGAAATTATTATTTCAACTAACCTTTTTAATATTTCAGACACTCATGTGCCAAATTTATAAATCAAAATACTTTGAAGGACTTTATTTCGCAATAATTCATTATTGTAAGTGCTATTCCAAAACATTTTATTCTTGAAGACTATATATACATGACTATATGTTAGTTTCAATATATAGTATCGCCGTCTTAATTAAATAATTAAAAATTCATCAAGGTATACATTACAAAAAACGACGATACATACCTGTCAAAAAGGAAGTAAAATTCTGCAGTAAACGACTAAGTTTACTTTGTAAACTTTTAAAAGCTGCAGATTCAACAGAAGAGCACTTTTTAAGTTTACGTTTTTTCTGTTTTGTTTGTTCATCTGAACGAGGAGAACGTCCATCATCATTATCATTACCGTCATCGACATCATCATTAATATCATTTTTATCAGTTGGTATTGTCTCAGGTAGCACAAGAATAGCGATTGGTGGTAGTCCAGCTGATTCTAAACGTTTTAATGCTGGCCCACCAACATCCAATAAGCAATGCAATCCTAATTCAGAACTTCAAATACAGAATCTAAATGGGTTCCATATAGATTTCCATTGTATTCACCAGCTTCAAGATATTTATGAGCAGCTATATCAGCGACCATTATTTCTCGACTGATTACAAAGTGATAATCACGACCTTCAACTTCATTTGACCGACGTGGTCGAGTTGTATCTTTAAACGAACAAAAAACAATGAAATTTATAAGTATTGCAATACCTATTAAAGATATTTTTAGTTGGTGAAGAAAGAGTGTGTAGTTGAAGTATTTAGTTGACAATATTTTATGCAGTCAATGTGATATTCTTATTTCAAGGTTGCAGTTATGTCTGAAGGGGAAAAATGCAAAATTCATAGTCAGAATGGACACATTACAAGGGATCTATGGAGTAATACGACACACCTCCTCTCTATTGCTTCATAGTTTTCAACAGACATTTAACATTCATGACAAAAATCTTCAGATTGAATCGATATTCACAAACAACTTAATTAAACAATAATAATCGAAATCAGAATTTTGCTTTCTATTCATGGGTAAGGCAGAGTCAAATTCAGAAGTTTTCAATATCTGATTTTATTTTAATCTACAGGTTAATCAACCATATAACATGCAGTGGATTTAAGTATTACTGAATATTTAGCTAAAAAAGATTATCAGCTTTTAGTTGTAAACAATTTACGGCAAGTAGTGAGATTTTAAAACAATTAATAACAATAGCCAGTTCGAATAAATATGTGTGTTTCTCTTTAACAATGTGATTTTTTTGGACTATACGTGCATTCCCTCAGTTGATGTTAATCAAATTGTATTAACGAATAATATCATACGAACAACTTTGAAATGGTGCTTTATGACATGTTTATAGTATGAACGAATCAAAAAGACAGTTGACAAAAAGGCTAAAATGGAAAACATGACAACCTAGTTTATCAGTGAAATTCCCAATAAACAGTAATAGATGTAGGTCATAATTTCATGAATTCAGTTTTTCTTTTGAATCAAGTGTAAATCAATGCGAATAGTATATGTAAAAACTCTTCATAATCACATAATTTAACTTTACTTAAAAATTTGAGATGATAAGATTATGACATGTATAATCACAAAGAACATGTGAAAATTGGTAATTATCACAAAAACTGACAATGACTTACTCTTGATATCGATAATAAAAACGATGATAGTTATAAACACAAAAGACATTTGATTAAAATTAAATCAACTGGTAGTTGGATCAAAGAAATCTGAAATAATATGGCTAATAATACCGATTAAACTTGTAGTGACCTATTGTAATCTTTATTCACCTAAGTCATAAGCATTTAATCAAATTTACGCTCGTATAGTGAATAAACATGATAGACAGGTACATGTTAATGTTTGACTTTTTTTTACCTTTCCAATGCTTACTGCTAACTTAACTGATTATATTGAATGCAAATATGTCTGTCTTCATTTATTCACATTCACTCATTCAGTTTGCCTACTCACATGGATGTCTGAAATGCAAATAAGCAACACCTATTCAGATTTTAATTTTTACTCTGTATGAACGTGATTATTCGACGGAGGATATATGAGGTTAAATAGACCATATATTTCGTTAACAATAATATCGTTCAATCATTTTGGAGTTAACAATAAGGATTAAAAACTTGTCAGCCAAAACAAAATACGACGATTATCTTTTTAAAAACACAGATACATGAATGAAGAATATTCTTTTCAATAAATTCTCTTCAGATTCTATAGTCATCGTTCTAAAGTAATAATTCCAAAAGAGGTGTGGAGTCTAGAAGCAATAATCGGAAGCGTAGAAAACATTAAATGTTGTTCTTCAGCATCAAAAGTTCTTTGATTTGTCCTACTCAACTTTAGCATTAGCATTTTTGCTGGTTGTTGCACCTTTGAATTGTAGCAGTATAGACTGTTCACCTTTAGGACGTCACTTTTCTCTTTTCTTGGATAAATGTTTATTTATAAATTTCTCGTGGTACGCACTTATTTTAGGAAAATTACGCACTGTATTTGTTTCTTCACCAACTGCATCTGGGAAGCATATTGACCTAATTCTATAATGAAGTGTCTTAACCGGTTCTTTTTTATGTTGTATGGAAAAAACACTAAAAAAGTTTGTGCATTGGAAGGCCCAAGTACTTCTCTTGTTTGGTTCTTTTTTCAGTGACCCATCTAGTTTGTTTATAAGTAGAATATCTGGAAAGGCTATTCCGCTTGTATTTTCTCTCGTTTAAATTTAATACACTGATAAGTTTCATCAAATCTCTTTTTTGTCATACAACTAAGTGTGACTATGGATTGATACTTTCACTTGTATCCGACTAAACCCATCTCTCATACAAAGTATTAGCAACCAGAAACACTATGTTCTCCAAATAAAATGAAGATAACAAGACCAATAGATAAACTCTAAGTAAACATACTTAAAATAGACATTAGATTTAACTGTTTTTAAAAACAAGTACTTACATGGGATAGCGGTTCCAAAGAGATCAGGAAATTCACATAATAATTCATCAGCAATCCTATCTTTCATATAGCCTAATATAACAACAGGTCTAGCAAAACTTAAATGAACCGGAGTAACAGCTATGTAAGATAAGGGATGATGTTCTTGGTCGCGATGACGACGACGGTGAGATTGACTGCGATCTGTTAATGCAAAAAGAAACGAAATTGCAATAGTCCTATTAAATAAAGACGACTAATAATGATGTAGAAAGTTTGTAACTCAGATCAATACTTTTAGTACTGTTGAATAATATAAACTGGATGATTTAATCAGAAAACTGAACATGTCATCCAGAAGACGATGAAAACTTTACAGTAAAACTTCCCAAGTCAAATAATGTGACAGTGCCAAAAATTCACGACGGAATAATTCTAAAACGGTCATGTATATACGGTAATAGTAAGCAGAGTAAAAATTAACAAAATATACATTCCTCAATGTTGCGTGAATGAAGGGACAGAAATCTGTTTATAGTTCATTGAACTGATTCCTAGTTCAAACTCTCTACATAGGACAAATCATCTTGATGGAAACGATAAATGATTAAAATTATTTTAAAAAGTGGTCAATCATATTATTTACACTTGCGTTACAGCTAAAATTAGTATTCGATAAATAAATTTACGAACACTGTTTCAATACAAATTAATATCAGTTAAAGTGCTATTGAAAATCAAGAAGATCTAAGCAGAAGTCTTGTCCTAAATCAGCAGTGTCATGAAAACTGTGTTGAACTAGTTTCTAAAAATCTCTTCCATTCGAAAATACTTTGTGAGTGCCTTCGATGCGAATTCCAGAAGTATTGGTCAAGACCTGAAACTATTGAGGTTCGACCAAGTTGAGTGAGACCTAATTAATTACTGACGGCAACGAATGTGTCACACTAAATTACAAGTTGATCGGTGATGGGACCACATAGATCACTGGATAACATAACCAAATTAATAACATTTTGGAGAAAATGAAAAATTGCTATGAAACCGTAGGTACGCGGAAATGGATGAGGTATTTATACAAATCAACTATCCTTAGGTATGACATATTTATCACCAATAATCTAGCCTTTATAGAGTGATTTGAAGTGTAAATCGTTTGATAAGATTGTGAATGTTCATCTACTGAAGTGACTGGGAAATATATACATAATTTCATATACAAACTTACTTTTATTCCTTGAACTACGTGGAAAATTATTATTCATCGTATTGTTTTTTGAATAATAAAAATCTTTAGATTGATTAACAGTTTCCACCAAAGAATGAGTTGAGTTAGATGTTTTAAATGACTGTTTCTCCTTTTTTCGTCTTCTTTCATAGGGATCATTTGATTTAATTGATGGTGTGTCAACAGATCGACTGTTTCTAGCCATAAAATTGACATGACGTGTCTTAGTACGTTCTTTTCTTTCTAAGCGTAAACGACTAGGAATTAGACCAATTGGACCAGTTGGTTCATTGATTTCTGGGTCGAATCTCTGGGCCTAGTAAGTAAGTATTTAAAAAAAATTGAAAAGTATATCACGGTGGTATTGTACAACACACTCAAAGTTATAAACTAAATATTCCAAAGAATCAAAACACTTTTTTAGTTGAAACAACTTCTATTACTACTGATCTGTGTCGAAATCACCATAATAACCAAGTTATTTCCAAAGATTGAAAGCTATTGAACTATTGCTTGACTTCAACACTTATTAAAGAGAAAAACTTATGCTGGTCAATGAAGGGAAGACAAATTAGTGGAAATAATATTCTGGGACAGGTCAGTAATTTTAACACCAATCTAACTTATCATTACTACCCATCAATCTGCTTATTGAAGAAAAAAATTAAACAAACTGATAGCACTTTTCACATTAACATGTTGAATGAACTGGAAATAAAACTTAAGTCATAACAATATTTGTGATATTGATTACAGATTCAATATGTTTATTTTGTATAAGAAAAGATGAACAAGTTGAGTTCCCTATTTACACAACAATTAGTTATTTTACATAAACATCTTTTAATTGTATGCTTGTTTAAATTTATAAATTGTGGTACAGTGTATTTCTGCATTTCAACTGTACAATTTCAAGATCCATAAATTGAAAACATTTAGAAACTTGTTTTGGTTTTTACTGGTCTACTTGAGGAAATTTCATGATTTATCAAATGTTTGATGTATAGTGTTATGGAGGATGAAGGATTTATTATTAGTGACGTAAATAGCATAATAAATTTGACTTTTCTCTTGACATCATACATGAATAATGAGTTAATTAAAGAAATGCTCTAATTCATAGCGAGTAATATGATTACATTAGAAAAAGATAGAAAAATGAATTTATTCAAAGTTATGCATTATGTGTGAAAAAAGCTCTAAATTAAATTCACTTGGTATTCTTTGCTTGAATCTTCCCACTGATGTTTAGGATTGCAGTTAATCAGTCTCTCATTGGCATATGTGCATCCTGTGCGGATTGCCTCGATATTGCCTTAAGTCACAAGAATTATAAGCAAAGACGGATAGTGGCTAGCAGTGGAATCCAGGACGTGTGTTTCATACTATTTGGGACTCGTTAGCCAGGTATACCTGCACCACAGAGTTGATGTTCACTCTGGGACTCGAACCAGTAGCGTCCACTTCAAACTCTATCACGTTATCGACTTAGCTACTGACTCCTGATGGCCAGTTGCTTGTGCAATTGGGTGAAGTTCAAATTCACTCGGTATTGTTTACTTGAATTTTTCCACTGATAGCATTTGAGTCGAACAGTACTGGGTTCGAGTCACGGAGTGAACATCAACTCGGGTGAAGATACATCCAGATGACAAGTCCCAAATAGGACGAATCGCGCGTCCTGGATTCCACTGCTAGCCACCATCCATCTTTGCTTATAAGCTCTAAATTAATTGACAACATCCAATATAACACAGGTTTATATTTTAGTACACCCTATTACAATGCAACAATTTAACTCAGTCTTATTCATTCTACAGGTGTAAGTTCACCCAAGATAGTAGTGAAACACATATTTATTTAGACAGCGGATATGAAATCAATATAAATAATTTAGTAAATTAACTAGTTGACAAAAAACACCAATTTTATTCCGTTTGGCAGTGGCAATCGCTATTAAATTTTTCTAACCTGACCAATGTATACAGAATAAAAGTGTGATTAGCCATTCACTCCTATGGTTTATCAAATAACTTTCATTAAATTTTTCAACTATGCCTGTGTTTTTGTCTTATATTGATCTCTTACATAATCTCATTGATGTTCACAAATTTAAATGATTTTATTTCTTTTCTCGTTGAATGATTATGCAATCAGCTGTCAAGTTCGTTACTCTTACCTTACCTCCTTTATCTTAATTATGACTACTGATTACTATGAAGCATGTTTAATTCGGCGTTGTTACTTTCTAACATACAAATACACATCGGTCTTAACTAAGTTTATTCATAAACTTTGTAGTCTTATTATTACAACTTTGGTTACGTTTCGAACATTTATCTAAACTTTACAAACTAAAGTATGCCAGACATGTTATTAATTATATTAATAATTGTAATTTTATGTTGTCTGCAGATAATAAGAAACCGTGAAACATACTGATGAATTTATTTTGTTCTGCAACCTTAGTTGATCTATTTAAACATATTAATTTTCAGTATGGGGATTTGTCGAAATTGTAGTATTTTCACGATTGAATTCACGAGTCGATTTAAGCTAGACCATCACTGAAAACCTGGAAACACTAAACGACCTATTTGTCCTAGTATGGGACTGCTTAGGGTTGCGCACCCACGATCCCGCACGTGGAACTCAAACCCAGGAGCTTCGGTCTCGCACGCTGACGCTTAATTTCTAGACCACTGAGCAGGCATCCAACGGTGTTAATGTCTGACTTTAATCGATCCATGAACTTGCACAACTCTTCATCCATTGTTTGAAGTAGATAACCGTCTCAAACCCATCATTGATTAGACTCCACTGGTCACAGCTTCCACCAGAACTCCAAGAGTTCCATCTTAAAGATGGTCACTGAGAAGTACATCATTATTATCAGTATGGGGATTTGTGGAGACCGTAGTATCTTCACAGTTGTTAATAAAGTTACCAGATACTTCGATTACTCTACTAAATATTGTCTATGGTTGATACAACAAATTTATGTCCATTTAAGTTTACATTAGTAAACTAGGTAATCCAGAAAAACGAAAAGAAACGCACTTACTTGCCACCATTCAGGATCAACTGTATTAATAACGTGAACCAAATCACCTGATTTTAGAGTGAATACTTTTTTAGGTATAGCCTGGTGATGATTCTCTTTCATTGGGTCATAATCAACTTGAGAGCGTAACAATAATACATGAGGATATTTATTCAATTCATTAGCTTCATTTTCTTCATGTCTTTTCTCTTCGCCAAGTGCTTCATTCGTCAGTTGACGCTTTTGCTTCTGTTGACGATTTTGTTGTCCTTTTTTATCAATATGTTCAGTGTTTTTTTGTTTCAGTCTATCTTTACTCATTCCAGATTGCTTCTTATCTTGACAACTGGTAGTTGGTGATTCTTTGTCTATACTGTCTGTCCTTGTTCCATTGGCAGTTTTAGCTTTCAGTGAATGTAAACATTTATAAGATAATTTATGACCAACTGCTTTAAGCTGACGACTGAAATGTTGCTCAAAACTGGCATATTCTATATAAAACGTTTACAAGAAATACCGTAGATTTATAAATGAATGTATGTAAGTGTCATTCACTAATCAAAAATAGTCTGAAAAACTAAGTAATAACAATTGTTGAATAAAAATCATCATGTATTCGAAAAGAAAACTGATAATTAGAATGTAGAAATTGATGGTTTCAAGAGATTACACAGATAAAACCGAATTACACTTTTAGAAACTGTTGAAATACAGTAATAACTAAAACAAGATTAGTAGTTTTGAGAATACATTACCATGAGATACAGACTTTTATTAAAAATGTTAATCACAATTTTTCAAGTAGTCCATTACCTGTGACGTTTAATTTATTTTCAACAAAGCACTCCATCCAGAATCAAATCAAGAAAAATATTAAGAAATTGAGTCATATTGTAGCATCCCATCGTGCATGAAAAGCCATTAGTTATCGCTTATAATCACAAATCCTTTATTCAAAACTATTGTTCTCAAACACATAATATTCATCAAACGAGCCACAACTGTATGATTTTCATGACTTTGTTCTAGTTAGCTATTGAAAGGCATGACAATTTTATTGTTAAAAAAATTAATTACGCATTTGTGCAAACAGTAATCTATTTTAAGAATTTCAGAATAATTAAAAATGTTCTAAATAATGATTGCTTCTTGATAAAAGCAATTATTATAGAGGAATAAAGAGAGGAAAGAATGCTGTACCCTAGAAGCAATAACTCAAGAACTCCAATTCAACAGACGGATAGTATCACTAGCCCTAACACAGATGTAACTTGAGGACAAGCAAATCAAATTGTACTTGACAAATGAGTTACAATTACTGTCATTATTATCATTTAGCATAGGACAAATACTAAAACGTTAAGTAGAATATGTTTCTTTATTCAATCTAATGGACGAAAGGAGCATACAACCAAGGATACATATAAAGCTCTATTTATGACTCATCAACTAGATGTATATTCATTCCACTTCACAGATCCTCAATTAAACCCAAACTAAGTAGACATCGGCTACAATTTAAGATCTGCTAAATCACAACAGTAAATACTTAACTAGTTATATATATATATATATATATATATATATATATATATATATATATATATAACCTGGTTGGCGATTTTTTAGCAAGATTTCTATTCTACAGAATGGGGTTCCCGACCCCATGCCCAACCCTCCTCCTTTACCCAGGCTTGGGACTGACAGTAACTCTAGAAGAGTTACAGGTGGAGTATATATATATATATATATATATATATATATATATATATATAAATTACGGTTCACCTTCGATATCATATTAAAATTTAAGCAAAAAAGTTACCAATTCACCAGTGAACTAAAGAAGTTCAACTTGATAACTAACTTTCATTACGAACTGACATTATCCAGAAAGGCCTTATAAACAATGCAGCTTTAAAAAGCTGTTTCATTCTTATTTGAAACTCATCAGTAGTATCCATTCATGATTTGACGTTTGGATGAAGTAAGGAAAAATATAGAACAAAACAAATCGCTTTTGTTCCTTATTTTCAATGGCTATATAAATGATATCAGTTCATGTTAGTATAATATTTTTGAATTGAATGAATCTTTACAAACTTCATATGAATTGTCATATTTAATTAATCTGTGAGCATAGAACTTCAAGTCATACAGAAAGCTATAAAATATTATTTACTACACTTGCAAATTAGAACTGAACTCTTGTTTCAGATTTCTTCAATCCATAAACCATTCACGTTTTTTATTTTATAAATTCTATTTGATGTATAGATATTATAAAAAATTATTTCTTCAAATAACGCAGTAGAAAGTTTTGATCTGATTAATATTAATTATTTTATGCATCCTTTTGCTATATGGAAATTTACATTTTTGCAGACAAGATGAATGATTGATGGGACTGAATGATAATTAACGTCAGACTAAAAAGAAATATTTCCCCTTCTGCTCTTATCATCATGAAAGTTGGCAAATGTACCATTCCTATTAATATCAGTAGTAATATTGTTATGAGTATCAACATCGGTGGTTACATCATACTGATTTTATGCACATATAATATGAGAAGATAGTGATTAGAGTAAATAAGTAAACAAATACATAACTGTACAAAACTGAATATTAGATATAAAAAGACTATTGTCCATTAGTGCATAACCATATGTTCCAAAATAAAACAGATCAGATATAAATAGAACTACTGTCTAGTTATTATTTGCATACGTATGTACACAAAGTAGCTACTTTAAAATGCCTCGTTAAAATTCACAAAATATCGTCTTAAAGAGTAGTTTGATTCGGAAAGCTAATCAATAAGAATGATTTGTCTTTTTCGATAATTAATGGTCAGTAGTATCATTAACGAATTCGATGTGACACAACACATTGAATGTAAGAGGAACTTGACATTATTTCACGTATTTTATTATAACAAAGTAATATTGACTGCTACTGAATTTCTCAGTCAAATAAATCGATCATTAATTAAGTGAATGAATTCAACCGACCTAGGGGAGATATATTAGACAACTTAGGCATATATCGAACAAATGATTCCTATTTAAACATTAAAACTACGAAGTTAAGCACAGGGATCCCTTTTCAACGAATTTATTATCAAGCTGCGCAGTCTTACAATCGGATACGGGAACATGACCCAGTGTGGTTCTACAAGGGTGAAAGGAAAGCATAAGGAGTTCCATATTTGAATATCTAATCGACTGTAAACATTTTACTGATCCACAGTTTGATTTTTAAATTGTATATACGATTCGTCTAAATCTACCCAGATTTTTTCATATCCGATTCCTAAAAATAACTGAAGCTCTTCCCATCCATGAGCTCAAGGCAGAACTATGTGTACAAAAGAAGTACATCCTATCGTTATATTTACTTTGGCCTTAACTATTGTTATTACTGTTAGGATAGTCGGAAAAATATACCAATAATTATCGTGTTAAGTCTATGGTGGCCTTGGACCTTAAATGTACATTTCTTATTGGTCGATGTTTATTTCACTTGTTAAATATTTTGTAAATGTTGTTTCCTATTTTATGGTACGATGTGGTATGCTTGATTGGTATATAAACAAAGTATGTTTGAAATATAATGATTCATAACTCAGAGGCTGTGACTTGTGTTCCTGACTCAACTGGCTGGGACAGACTGCGAAGCGGGACCAATCAGGGCACTAGGTCGTCCGTCTGTGTTTACGTGTCCACTGTCACGGGAGCGATCGATATAAACGCTGCTTATTAAAACCTGAAGTCTCACACCCGTTACAACAATTACTGCATACCTCCCTATACCTATATCTCATATTGTCATTATTTTATTCCTAATTAGTATCAGAAAGGGTTTTGTGGATATTATAGTAATTTTAAGAGTTGAGACCATGAGTCAATTGAAGTTAGACCACCATGGAAAATCTGGAACCAATGGATAGCGTTTTCGTCCTATTATGGGACTCTTAAGTGGTGCGCACCCACGACCCCGCCTCCTGCGAGGTTCGGACCCAGGACCTGTTAGTCTCGCGCGCGAGCGCTTAACTACTAGACCACTGAGCCGGCATCCAATGGTGTTAATGTCTAACTTCAACTAATCTACGAAATTGAGCGACACACCCACAATTGTCTTCAGTGAGTTACTTTCTTACAACACACCCGGTTGAACTCCATTGGTCATTGTTCTCACTAGAACGCCAGGAAATACCTCATGAAGCCAGTCACTAGTGAGCATATGTTGATAATTTCAGAAGGGGTTTTGTGGATATTATAGTGATTTTAATAGATGAGATCATCAGTCAACTGAAGTTAGACCACCATGGAAAACCTGAAAGCACTGTACGCCCGTTTCGTTCTACTGTGGGACTCTTCAGCAGTGCTCATGATATAACTTTATTTATTTTCTACACCTCTATGACCTTTAATAATTGCAACAAAGACATTTTAATCATTTTACGACATTCATGTTATAATTCGTTACTAACCTATTAAGTCTAATGTTATTATTCATTTTACGTAATCTAGTATTATGGTCTTTCTATGACATCATCTGCGTTATTACTTAGTTACATTTCCTCGCAGAACTTGTACTTTAACAAAAAAAAGTTTTCATGTATGTACGATTGTACAGCTTGATAATAAATTCGTTAAAAAGAGATCCATTCGCTGAACTTCGTGTTTTTAACATATTGAACAGCCATTAAATAGTAATTAATATCATGCTACCTAGCCTTTTGAGCCTATTAAACTCCACCGATCAGCTTTATAATGGAGCCATTTGGGTAAGTAAGGTGTTCTAGAGATCTTTTAATAATGACCAATGATTATTAATAATTGAAAGTTTCCTCAACTACACTTAGAAAGTGTCACAATTCAATGGTTCAAATAATCGATTGTAGTAATGAATATATGATAATAATATATAATGTTTGTGCGTAAATCAAATTTCTAATTATTCTTATATTTTAAAATGATCTGACGAGTAAGTTACGTAACTCATTTACTAAGTGCTGGTCGATGTCTTTCAAAAAACTATTAATTTATAGAAATTCTGAGAAAATAATATTTTCCATTCGCTAAACAGATTAGTTCATATACACCTGAGAAAAAAACGATGAAATACGATGACTTAATCGCATTCTGCAAACGTTTTTTTTCGATACGTTTTTTAAATTTGAAGCTAATTTTTTGAACAAGAATTCATAAAGTGTAAGCATTTCTTATGTCAAATTTGAATAAACTCTGTTTAATAAACCCAAAAGAGCACAACTTGTACTGTGATATAAAGTAAACTTACCTTCAGGACTATAGACTAGGAGAAGATCAACACGATCACGCGCATCTCGTAAAGCTGCAGCCGCTTTCTCGTGCCCATACTTAGAGACATCTATGCCATTAACCTGAGGTAAATATGAATAAAACAAAAGATGACATCATCTTGAGAATAATCAATTCTAATCATAACTATTATTATCACTTTACTCAGCACGCGCTTGATTTCTGTGCAAAGTGTCCAATATTGTAATAAATTTCAGATTTTTTGGATTTGTAAAAATGCTACTTAAGCACATAATTGTACACGATCATGGTGTATAATTAATCGGATAAAACGAATATAAAACTGAAAAATTGTTAGTTTGGGGGTTGTGGAAAATATTAAATTTCATTAAAATCAGGAACCATTCAATGTTAGACCGCCATTGAAAACCTGCAAGCACTGGACGGCCATTTCGTCCTAGTATAGGGTTCCTTAGCAGAGCACACCCACGATCCTGAAGGTGGGATTCAAACCCAGGAATTTCGGTTTCGCGCACTCTTTGATTTATAAATTGGCATATTGGAATTTATTAGTTATGAAAGTTGGGGAGACCTTCAATTTATATCAAGATATGAGTAAATATGAGTACGTGTACACAGCAGTAATGTGAGTACAAATAATTACCAACATCAACTTAATTGGGACCATTGAAACACCAGATAAATTTACAATTCTAGTTATATTCATCTAAATCTATGAGCAATATTGATTAAGCTACCCTGATCTGCCTAGATGAGTTATAGGAATCATTACAACACAGACTAGTCAAGTGGTTTGTAAGAAATCCAGAATTTGCGTAGTAAACTGTGATACGTCTTGAAACTGAATGGCTTCTACACTTTCCACTATTGTCTATTCAGGTTTTAATGTCTTTTTTAGTAAACGGAATGTAGCCATTAAGACATTAAATAGGAAAGATTAGTTCAGCGAAAAGTTCTCTTTTCGGCGAATTCATTTTCAAAATAAATAAGTATATATATTTGCGATTGTACAGCTTTGGAAATGAATTCACCGAAAAGAGAACTATTCGCTGAACTAATCTTTCTTTTTTAATCCTCTTTAAACTGGATACAGCACAACTTGTTCATCACTGTAGTGGGAAATTGATTAATTATCCAACTTACTAATGTATTATTTAATGATTGATGTAACTTATGTTTGCTGTGGAATATAGAATTTTGAACGTAAACTCAAAGGAGGTCACACTTTATAAATTTACTAACCAAACTGATCTGTAAGAGACGTTATTGAAGGGATATACCACTATCGAATAATATGCTCGTTATTCATTTGGCCGAAACAGTTATTACCATATTCGTGTGTTAGGTTATACGGCACACTGAAAGTGTTGGATTTAACGGTATCGATAAAAAAATGTTGGATTACATATATATTTGTAGATAAACACTATCAAAATTATTATTAATCGTCTATGTATCACGAAAATAAGTTTTATCAGTGTCATCAGATGAAAACAGTTCGACGAAGAAATTTTTCTTGACAATCTTATTTAGTGAATCTGTAGTAGTTTTAAGCAGTGCATGCAATCTCTTACCCAACCACTGATTGAACATCTTCAGTTTTCCTTTATTCATAACTGTTTGTTATCATCGTTTCTATAATTTTTATTTCATTTCTTGCTCTCTTTCTTTATATTTGTCGAGTGAAAATCACTTCTGACACTTCTGTTTTGATCTAATTATTTTTCTTTAACCTGTTGATCACTACGCAAGTTACTTGTGACACAAAAAATTTCTAAAAATTATATTATGTAACCACTTTCTAATGTTTAATAAACTACTATATTAAATTAACATAAATAAAATTGTACATTTTCAATGAATGATAATAATAAAAGAAAGTTTTCCTCATTTGATTGTCTTGTTTCCCATCTCCAGAAATACAATAATTTTATTTTACTGCATTACCATGTATCTAATTTGGGATTTAGTAGAACAAACTAAGTGTAACTATTAAAAACAGTATGTGAAGTATACAGAGAATCTAACGAAAAACTCATAAAATTCATTTGTTCTGATTAACAACTGTTCAACTTAGTCAACCTGAAGAAAAAAAATAAATAATTCAACCAAAAACATTATTTCACTTATGACAATGAGCAAACTAAACACCCCTCTATATAAAAAGAAACAAAAATTAGAAGATCCGTCTCTCCAAGTTTCCATACGGAGAAAAATATTTTGCCTTTATCAACAATCAGTTTTTCTTCTGCTTCACATGGTGTTTTAGTTTAAATTAATACAGAAAAAAGGTTTTATCTTTAAAAATGAAAACTTATTTAGTGGATGTCATTTTAAATCAAAGGAAATTTATCATCACATGTCAAGACTAATTTAATCTTGTAAAACGATTAGTGAAGATAGAGAGAAACTTCAGAAATTCAATTCCCTGTTGTTGTTTTTTATGTCTCTAACCACTAAACTGTATCTATGAGGTTTAAGAAAACTGTTGTTTTGTAAGAAAATCAAACACATTTAACACAGTTGTTATTACTAAATTATTCTAATAATTGGAACTGACTGCCAGTGCACAAACATTGGTCGATAGAACTTGTTTAATTATAGAGACTAGACATGATAGTACTGTTTATGATTAAGTAACATATGTAATGTTACAATTTCATAAGTCACTGAAAAAATATGTATTTTTCTTCTCTTCTGTTGATTAAGATGTAGCATAAGTTTAAAATGAAGATAGTTATCATATGGTACAATTTTAAACGATATTTCAGCAAACCATAACACTTGACTTTGCAGGTTCGAACACCTATCTGTCTAACTCGGTTTAGGTAAAGCACGTTATCATTATTTATAACACAAAGTGTGGCTACGTGTGACTTATCTAAGGCTGCACGTGATAAATGACATAAGCTAACCTAATAAAATTTGAGGAAAGACAATAACGTAGCCTTACTGAATATTCCTCTTCTACAATAACTCGATAGATGTTATTATACAATCACGCTTACTATCAGTACTAGAGAAATGTTTAAGAAAACCGGGTTCTTAAAAAAATAAGCATATGAAACGAAAGAAACTGGGTTTGAGTTTCATAGAGAACATCAGACCTGAGATGTAGATATATCTAGCTGACGAGCTCCAAGTGCAAGGAAACGCGCGTCCTGGACTTTGCTGACAGCGACGATCAAAACTTTATCTAAAAGCACTTCTACTTTTTTTGTAATCATATGTTATAAAGGATAATTCTGATATGTGTGAATTGACCTCTTTATGTCAAAAGTCTTCAAAACAAAACAAAATAACATTAATTACATCAGTGAACACTAAATAACAAAACTAAATTTTGCTTGTATTATGTCAATTACAAGTAAATAATTAACTCATAAAAAACTAATAAAAATAAATCAACCAATGAGTACAAACCGAAGAGATGGGAAAGGAAAATAAATAAACATATCCCTTTAGAATAAAAAAGTATTCAAGCTTTCTTTTCTTTCATTCGTTGATTTTGAAAACATACCACTGAAAGAGACAAGAATATCAAGATTTATTCTAAATACACACTTATGACATTCAAGTCAAAAGTGATGATAAACAGTTTCATTCAACAGGAAAGAAGTATTTTATATTTATTTTTTTAGAAAAAGTAACACACCCAAGAAAATATATTGCCACTTTTTTATTTTACTGTATATAACGTAAGGTTAACCTAATGGCTTGTTACAGGTGAAAATACTTCTCATAGCTTGGTTGATTCGATAGTCTGCATCATCGACTGACCTTAGATAAAGGCTGATAACCAGGAAGCATATGAATTATTGTGTTGAAGTATGTGAACATTCCCGGTCCTATCGAAGATGGGTCTCGTGACGTGAAAACGGCCTTCAAATCACTTACTTGGCATTCAGTGGTTTACCTTTAGAGTCGCAATAAATCCACGACGCTGTATATCCATCTTCCAAATCCATTGGTTAGTTTAGCTCACTAAAAGTTAATTGTTGCTACAGTGCCTATTTATTCAATAACGGTTTGTAATTCATGTTAATCCTCGTAAGAAATCGAATGAGATGTAATGAAAATCAAGTCACAGTAAAGATTTAAATGAACGAATAAGTGTACAATATAAGGAATTGAAGCTGACAGAAATATACGACTAGATAAGTGATCCGATAAGTGGAATTTATACAGATTTTAATACCAGGTTGCAGAAAAACAGGTTCATGGATTACTGGTAACTCGTTCATAAATTAAATTACGGCAACAAGTATAATTTTGTTTAAAAATACCATAATTTTATCTCATGTATCAATTTACCAGAGTGAAGTTAAGTTGATTATGATTTTATATGACATATCCAGGTGAAATCAGATCTTGATCATTATTGGAGTAAGATGAAGCAGTAACGTGATGGAATACGCTTATGTACAAGTTTTTATGCTAAAGTTGTTTTTCTAAGAAAATGTGTAAAAAATCTTGAAAAGTGTTTAAAAGTAATATGCTAATTAGTAAATAGACTTGTTGCCATTATAAATTTATAGTGAACAAATTCACATTCTACAAGCTATATATTGTCATTTTCCAAACGTAAAGTATGTATTGTAGTGCCTTATATTCAAAACATCTACAGTTAACTAGTCATTACTGAGTAACCCGGGCTCAAATATGGGACAGAATATCAAGTTCTCAAGGTTATAGGTATATCTCGATAATTTTTCCTTGGATTCCAGAGTATCTCTGAGTGATACAGGTCAGCAATAAAGGTTATTTTCAACTCTATTCTTTTTTTAAATTTTGAAAAGTTTAGTCTAATATTATTTGTCTTAGTAATTTTACAATACACAAAAGAAATATGGTGTACAGAAAAGCATTATGTCAGTCATAATACAACAAATTGAGTTTTGAAAAACAAATGTTTCAATAAAATATTTTCAAAAGAAAATTTGTTCAATCATGAGTGAACGTTTTATAATTGAAAATTCGTTTGTACAAGATAATTGAACTATATTGTACTTTGTTATGTCTTTTCAATTAAATGAACACTTATTTAGACGTGTATTTTCATCAATTCATACTTTCTCTAATTTAAAATTCATAAAACTTACTGTTAACAATCGATCACCAACCAATATCCTTTTTGATAAACCAGCAGGTTTATCAGGTTGTATATGAGAAATAAATGTTGCTTCTGAGCCATCACCACCAACAATATTTAAACCAAGATTTCTCCCACTATTCGATGAATATCCACGTTGAATTGTATCGGAATTATCTGTTTGATTTCGATTCATAGAAGTAATTCGTTTACGACCACTTCGATACAATGTAACTAAACGAGCATTTGGCCATTCATTAAGTAAGTTGGACACTGAAGCAGCCGCTGCATAATCAACTGATGAATTACAAAGAAGAAACAAATGAAAATCATATAAATTGCAAAGAAAACTGTAGCGATCCATCGTGTAGAATGGAAAAATCATTCTCAATATATAGTTATTATTGATTTATAGTTCCTAAGCAAAAAGTTATGAACCATTCACAAGTACAAGTAAAAATTCTCAAAACTCATATACTTATAAGACTATCTACAGTTGTTCATTGTAATAGAAAGTCATAATGAAGTGTTGGAATAATTTAGTTCTTTATTCATTGTCATCAATCACATCTGTGGGGAAATAACTTTAGCCTTAAGTGTGTTGGCACTTATCAAACACAGGGTCTTCTTGGTCCCTCATACAACTCTGAATTGTTGTAAACAATGACGCCTCAGTTGAGTAATAACCATTCTTATGATACCAAAGTGCTAGTTTAAGGACAGTATATCTGATGGTTACTATATGATAGTGTGAATCTCGTTCTACATGTTGGTATGAATCTAAATTAATCGACTAGATTGTACGACTTGGTTGTAAGTCAAAGTGCGAACTCACTTATACAACCCAATTTTGATTACCTAAAACCTACTAAAATCAACAGCTTAGGATGCAAAATCGAGTTGAGTTATCTAAAATATAAACTAGGAAACTATTACACATGCAAACACTGTTCTATTTCTGTATACAACTGTAGAAAAATGTTTCAAAACATCAACAAATATTGTAAATATCTCCAGTTAACCTGTTCAAAATATATTTAGTCAAATGGAACAATAAATTTTCTCGATTTCTGTAAGCCAAGATTAACATCAGTGTCATAAATCAAGTTACTTAAATACAACTACTCACGTAAATTATGAATGAAAACAAAATGCGCTAAAATAGTGAACAATCACAAAATATTTAAAGATCTTTCAACACAATTAAATTACAACATGAATCGAAAAATAGGTAAAATAATAACACTTTCTACTCACTTATACCAACCATTCTATTTTCTAGTAATTCTTGACCAGTTGCACCAAAGTATGGATTATTTGTTGTTGTGGCGGTTTCGTTTGGTTGTGATTTATGACACATTTCATTTGATAAATCTGGCGAAGAACGGTACCGTTCATTAGGTATTGCAGATGATGAATGAACATTTTTTGTAGTCCCAGATTGACGGCGATGAGTATGATTTTGATCGTTATGACTTAAATTACGATCTTGTTTTGATTGTGAAAGTACCGAAGATGATTGTTCATATCTATTCTGTTCTTTTTGTTTACCTACATCAGAATCCACTGGATGACCGGATGATGATTCAGCATGATAAGAACTATGTACAGATGGTTCTGAAAGTGGAGACGTATGAGATGAAGTGGAAGGAGAAAAGGAAGCCGATCGACGAAGTGACGATAAAGATACTGATGATGAACACGATTTAGTATAACATGTTGGTCCAACATTATTATCATCATAACTATTTTTACCACTGATATCATTATTATTACAAATAATTACATCTTGATCATTAAGTGCACTTGATTCAGTTTTTATTTCTATCAAAAGAAACGAGAAACAGAGATGAAAAATGAAAATAATGAAATAGAAAATCAATTTTAATCAAAATATTTATATATCATAACTCAAAACATAACGAAATTTAGTTTTGTTTATTAAGTAAAGGAAATAGAAGGTAAAACAAATGGGTGTAACGAAACATTTCCTAAACATAAATATCAATGACTAAGTACACTTGAAAGTTGTAAGAAATTAATACATTCACAGTAGACATGCTATACAAATTAGACAAATAAAGTGACACACTTATTTTATCTAAACCTGATGATATATCTATTGTTTTAAGTGACTCTATTAATGAGATTGATTGAAATAATCAAGTATTTTTAATATCACATAACTATTTATTAATATAGGCTTTAGCTTTAAAACGTATACTAGTTTAATTGATTTTTCGATAATGAGCATAAGAAATAACTAAGGATTTCATCGTGTGATTGTTTTAGTAATTATATTGTGAGAATATATATGGATTAGTTTACCATGATGTTATGAACACAGGTCTTGTTTATGAATGAAAACATTTTTCACATTAATAAACTATCAGTATGATTTAAATAATCTGTTATGTAATTAACCTAAGTCAGTCAGTCAGTCAGTAACAAAGTAGGACTTCGTACGTACGTACGTACATCAGTTCGAGTTGCCACACCACATTAGCACAGAGATGCAGTGGTCGATTCAAATCCCGTAGTGGTAGAGGTAATAAGAGTATAAGCAGTAATCAGTAAAATTAGTGTTTGGAGATGTTATTAACCTAAATGATGAATGGAATTAAAAGTGTAATGAAAATGTAAATAAAACATTTGAAACATACAGGATAATGTTATGTAATGAACTTTAGAAATATTATTTCTAATTATAGTTTTAAACATATGTCTTTTTCAATACTATATATTTTCTGACAAATAAGATTAAATACTATTTAGTGAAAGATACTACTAACATAAATCCGTTTTAAATAGTTAATTTTGTTATAAATATTCTAAGTTTAATTTTGTTATTTTATTTGAAAAGATTTCAATTTCACTGGTTAGTTGTATAATTTGTTTAAAATATTTGTTACTCAAATTTTATTTGAATGAATTAGATGAAATGATTATCTATTCGTAATTAAACAATCTAATTATTATGAGAAGGCTACCTAAAAACGTTCATTTTGTATGAGGGTGGATGATATAACAGCTTTGTTTCTGTCAGTGTTGCATTGTAATCATGCGTTTGTTCTAAAAGACATGGTATATGAATGTTTAACATGATGTCTTTGTCAGTTAAGCTTGATATGGCCCGATGAGAATAATGAATGGTAAATGTCGGGATCTATTTATGGTCTAATAATATACGTATATTTTTATTGTATAATTGTTAAGTAATCAAACTATGTAAACTCATATTCCTCTTATTATAAGCTTTATTTTGACCCAAAGACTATTATTATACGATTTACCATTCTTAAGTTATACCCAGTCTATTAATTACACTTTCCCATATATTCACAGTCACTTTTGACTAGATCTTGTACAAACGTTATTTCCTATTTTATGGTACGATGTGGTCTGTTTGGTTTGTATATAAACCCAGTATGTTTAAAATATATGATTCATATCGCGGAGGGTGAGATCTCCATTCTGAACTCAAGAGGCAAGGCTAAGCAGGAAGAAGGACGGATATAGACTCTATACGGTTCGTGCTAGTTTATGTGTCATTGGTCTGGTTGATAAGACACTGTTCTCTAATTGGCGGTATCATTACGTTATATAATGATAGGGCACAAAGCTAAGAGTTTATAACAAAGCTAATGACCATGAACTTAGAAAACCGTACTTCCATAGTGTTGCATAAAAAAAAATAAATGAGATTTTATTGTATTCTCTTTTGGATAACAGTTGAGAATTGTTTTACTCAGATAAAAAATATGCTTTCAATAAACCAGTTGGATAAATGAACATATGAACAACGAAAGCTTCGTGATTAAACCATTCAACTCAAAGAACGAAATTCGAGCGAAATCATCCACCTGAGCCACAAATCCCTACCATCTCAAGAACATACTACATAAAGGTATTTGACAAAAAGTTAACCGACCACGATTAATAAAAGGTAGCCATGATTATTCCCTATTAATCAAATTACTTAAATAAGGCATATTTCTGATAATCTACATAATAAACTAATACTGTCTATTTCTCATTGTTTTTGAGATAACAAACTTGTGGTGGATTTAACAAGAAGTGTTAAGCATTGTGTGAGCATTAAAGCCTTAACTTACTTTTACTAGTTCGAATCACACATATTTAAATTTGTAACTGTTTTATTGATTTCATACTTATTAAAACCAAACACGTAGATTAAAGAAATAGCTTTTTAAAAGACTAATATTTGAACGAAGAATATTCTTTTCGATAAATTCTCTTCAGGTTCTACAGTTATATATCCAAATTATTAATCCGAAAAATGGCCAAGTTAAGGGTAAAGTACATCGTTTAGAGCATGTGAATTTAGGATTGTGATAAACAAATTACAATAAAATTGTTAATGTTAATATGACTCATATAGAATGTTAACTTGAATCTGCGTATATGTTAAATGAAATTTTAAGATCCATGATCAGAATAAATATGGGTCAAATAGGGTGAGACAGAAATAATAGTGCAATTACAATTCGATCAAATAAGTAAGACGTAATACGGAGGAATGAATGCGAAGTGAATGAATCATGTAAAGGGGAGATTAATGATATTTAACCAATAGTACGAATAATAATAATAATAATAATACAAGATTTATGAATAAAGATAACAGGGACAATTACAATTGACTACGAAAGGTCATAGTCAAATTGGGTCAATAGTCAATCAATCGTAATCTTAACTATTGAATGACCCAATTTGACTATGACCTTTCGTAGTCAATTGTAATTGTCCCTGTTATCTTTATTCATAAATCTTTGTATTATTATTATTATTATTATTCGTACTATTAGTTAAATATCATTAATCTCCCCTTTACATGATTCATTCACTTCGCATTCATTCCTCCGTATTACGTCTTACTTATTTGATCGAATTGTAATTGCACTATTATTTCTGTCTCACCCTATTTGACCCATATTTATTCTGATCATGGATCTTAAAATTTCATTTAACATATACCCAGATTCAAGTTAACATTCTATATGAGTCATATTAACATTAACAATTTTATTGTAATTTGTTTATCACAATCCTAAATTCACATGCTCTAAACGATGTACTTTACCCTTAACTTGGCCATTTTTCGGATTAATAATTTGGATATATAACTGTAGAACCTGAAGTGAATTTATCGAAAAGAATATTCTTCGTTCAAATATTAGTCTTTTAATATGACGGGGATCTTTAAACGATTAAAATAGCTTTTTAACTAATTAACGAGAAAAACCACTGGTGATTTTTTTTATTTCTACATATTGATGAGTACCACACAAAACATGTGGCTTACGCATAAGAAAACTATGCACTAAACATTCACTGCTTTCTTGAAAGCTAGATTACTGCATTCTCCGAAACACATAGACATGGTATATATATATAAGACAAGTATTCCGATTACTTAGTGTGAGTACATTGATAACTTAAATAAACATCCCAGTAGATATAAAACTCAAATTCCAGCAACCGTGTTTATCTTAAAATACTGATCATTACTTAAATGGTGTTCAACTAACTAAATCAGATTTTACACCCTCGGAAAAGTGGAAAGGAGTTGACCAGCTTATTAAATCTGTGGAATACTTTAAGAATAACTACTAATTTTTCTCAGTTTTGTAGTCAAAGAGCTCACAATATGCTTTTATATTTCATAGGCTACTTCAATGGTGACATTTTAATAAGATTTTAGATTAATTTTCATGAAGAAATGACAATAGTTGAAAAGTATTTGAAACATATGTAGTCACAGACAGTATTATGTAAACGAAATCAAATAAAATGGAACATAGGATACTCAGTGGATACAATGGAATGTCAAAGTAGAATCCAAACTTCTAACATTTTGCTTTCATTATTTTTTTATTAACAGGGATAATTGGTAAGTTGTTGTCTGACTGCAAACTTGAATACTAAATCATAGTAAAACTTATAGAGAACTGTCACGTAGTCAGTGGTATACAAATAGTCATTACACAACAAGGTGTTTCTATGAAGATTCCTGTAGAACTATTGTGGTCTAGGAAGCATTAAACTGACTTTTGTTATATTGCAACAAAAATATCTCAATCCATACTGCCCATCATGACACTTGTAAATTCTAAATTTCACTCTGTTTGTAATTGTAAGTGAGCAGTATTAAATAGACCATTATGAGTTGAACGGAACAACTCTCCACTTTTCAGTAATTTATTAGAGAACAAAATATTCAAGTTCATGTTAATTCATAATGAATTTTAACTTTTACTAAAAACTATTAGCTATCGTGATCCTAACGGCCTCATCAACTTTATAGAAAATAAACATTTATTGATTTATTCGAACTCATTTCATAAAGTTCAATAAAGAAAAATGAATTTCTGCCTGAAATGTGATTAGATCTTGTCAAACAATAAACATTCTATATAGTAAACAGAAAACAAAAAGTGTTTCATTTATGATATTATTATTTATACATTTACAAAAAAAAGAGAAAAAGAAAATCTTTTTTCATTCATTTTAGTTTGTTACTGTTAATTAAAATTCCTACTTATATGTAAACAAGATCGATCGATTTTTCTTTTTATGTATAGTTGATTTTCTGTATGAACTTTGAAGAGTAGGATATAAAAGAACAATGAGGCGAAAAAATATCAAACCATATCTAGTAGCCTTAAGCGAATCATATATATATATATATATATATATATATATATATATATATATATAACAAAAAGGGGAAACCAAAAGATATATATATTTAAGAAAAGTTAAGTACAAGAAAAAGTAATTTTATTCAATATAAAATGAACAAAATTCGGGAAATAACTAATGAATATGTAAATTAGTCAACGATTTAAGAGAAATAACAACAGTAATTGTAACGTGTTCTCAACTTTATTCAATTCGTGGTATAGTGAGATGATCAACTAGCAAAATTCATAACGGTTCTTTCACTCATAACACGTTTGATTACTGATGGGATCATAGCTAAGGAAAGACGAAACTTCCCATACCAGGTACAAATATCTGTTCAGTGGCACCTAGTTTTCAGTTTCACATTAATTATAGAACTCTATGACCAGAAACCAATAACAGGTTAAATTGATCTCTACAAAACTTTTAGAATAAGTTAAAAATGTTGCATTTTTATCATCATCGTTTATACTGGTCAGTTTTGTTTCGTTAAAATATCCATACTTTATTACCTTAGTTTATCAACTGTTTGATAATAAATGTATATATACATCGGTTAAAATTTAACTAGGACCTAAGATTTGCGACAATTTTGTGTAGGGATTCTTAAAACAGTGATTTTATTCTTTTTTTCGAGAGCAACAGAAAAATCTGTAATATTAAAATTAATTTATGCTTTGTTTGCATTTTAAATTCACTCTGTATAACATTAAAGGAAATATTTTCTTGAAAAAGCTTGGACCAAATTGTCAGGCAAAACGTTGGATTTACTCTGAATCCTTTCGCTGAGATTTTATAAATACATTCTTCCTCTTTAATGTCTCACATCAACTCGGCGCCCAAATATTGTGAAACTATTCGCTTTGTAAAATTATTATTCATAGATCATATAACGGAATATTAAAGATTGCTTTATGACACTATGTAGTGTTTTCTTGTAAATTTTTAATCGACGACACGAATATAAATACATCAATAATTTCGGATATTTGATCAACTGAATATGAAAAATACTGATGACAAGTTATGACATGGGACAGCCAAAGGAAATTTCAATGTAAATTTTCAGTAAGAAGATAGGAACATTGTTTATCTAACTGTATTAAAAAATGAGATACTTGTGATAAAAAATTCAAAAGATTCCAAGTTTTCTCGGTTATATTGACGTATGACCGAGACCGTCTAAGGATGGGCAAATTTTCATAATAATAGGTGTTTTTAAACACTTTCCAACAAAATATGCTACAATAAAACCACTTATTTGAGTAAAAACACATGAATATATAAAAACCACTTTCATACAACGAAAGATTCATGAGCACGAAGCTATATAACATCAAAGTCATGCTATTAGTACTTATAACTGTATACGATTATGACCTGACACTTACCTGTTGACGAATTTTGATGTGATGAATAATTATTTACATGTTTTACCAGAACGAGTCGAACCTGATCACCAGCTTGTTTTAAAACACGGACTGCTTGTTCATGAGTTACATCAATAAGTGGTATATCATTTACTTGAACAATTCTATCACCAATACGAATTCGACCATCTGTTTCTGCAACACCACCAGGAGTAAGCTAAAACCATTTTAAAAATAAGGGCATATTCAAAAGAAGACATTATAGCTATACACCCAGTACTTGATAAATCATATTCAGATATTCACGTAGCTTTAGTCAGTTATCACAGCTGAACTAATTTCCGATTTTTACATTAATTTAAAAGCTAATCAGATTGTAAGTTCTGATAAGAAAATTGAAATGTTTTGATCTATGGATTCTTAAGAGAAATCACATCTATATTTATTTATAACAAATTTATTTAGATTGAAATCATGTTTCCATCATTACTCATCTGAATTTCAGAACTTTGAGTCAACCTAAATTACTGACATGTCACGAAATTCAGTACTAAAAACACATCTTCCTTTAAGAGAAGCTAATAGTGTAGTGAACAAGAACACATGCGGGGACTATCGAATGTATTTGAACACAAAATTACAGAATATCTGAGAACCATAGAGTAAATAGTTAATTTGCAAAATATCAATCCATAGTTGACTGTTTCTTTTGCAAATATCAGTCTATCGTCTCAGATTTCATTAATTGTGCATTCTTATACCTTTTGCTTTCCGTTTCCGTTCTTTCCTTCTCGATCTTCTACTGAAATGCATTCTATTCCTGATCATTATATACTACTTGTGTGGATATAAGTAGGTCACATCACAACAGCAGTTATATACAGCCATGCGTTTTAGAGGCTTCACTTGACAAACAAATCACTGGATATTAAGTTTCTTGATGGTGCTATGGAAGCACCATCTTCAGGAATGAATCTCTATCGAAACCCTGCAAAAATCCAAGAAAGGAAGAACAAGAAGTCAGCAATGAACAACAGACGAACAAGAATAGAGAAAGCCAAGGTGCAAGCTGAATACAGAGACGTAATCAACCAAGTAAAGAAGAGCATTAAGGCTGACAAGCAGAAATACATCGGAAACCTAGCAACGAAGGTAGAAAAAGCTGCAAGAGAAGGAAATATGAAACAACCATATGACACAACGAATAAACTAGCAGGGAAATATAGTAGACCAGAAAGACAGGCCAAGGACAAAGAAGGCAAGCTAATCGGTAAGAATCAAGTATAAAGGAACAGATGCGTAAAGTACTTCGAGGACCTTTTGAATAGACCAGCACCACTAAACCCACCGGACATCGAAGCAGCATCTATAGACCTTCCTATAGATGTCACTCAACCAACGACCGAAGAAATCAGGATCGCCGGTCACCATACAAATCAAGAGCGGGAAAGTAGCAGGATACGACAATATACCAAGCGAAGCACTAATGTCACACACAGAAGTAACTGCAAACATGCCTCACACTCTATTCAGGAACATTTGGGAGGAAGGACAAGTGCTAATGGACTGGAAAGATACCTCATCAAAATACCAAAGAAAGAAGATCTGAGAAAATGTGAAATCTACAGAAGCATCACACTACTGTCAGAACCAGGAAAGATTCTCAAGAGTGTTGCTCGACCTGATGAAAGATTCAATAGGCCTCCAGATTCGAGACCAACAGACTGCATTCTGTAAGGATGGTTCGTGCATAGACCAAATCGCGACACTCGTTGGACAGTCACTTGAATGGAAATCGTAACCATATATCAACTTCATTGATTATGAGAAAGCATTTGACAGTGTGGATAGGAGAGCATTACAGAATCTTCGATGCTATGGTGTACCTGAGAAAATCTTCAACATCATCCGGAATTCATACAACGGAATACACTGTGAAGTCGTGCATGGAGGACAGCTAACAGACTCATTCCAAGTGTCAGGCAGGCTGCTTACTCGCAACCTCTCTCTTCCTTATCGTGATTGACTAGATCATGAAGACCTCCATATACGAAGAGGGAGTATGGAATACAATGGACAGGTTGGATGCAACTAGACGATTTGGACTTCGCAGTTGACGTAGCTTTCCTATCACATACACATCAACAAATGCAAATGAAGACAACTAGTGTGGCGGCAACCTCTGCGTGAGTAGGCCTCAACATACACAAGGGATAAAAACAAGATCCTCGAATGAAACACAGTCAACACCAGCGCAATCAGACTTGATGGAGAAGCTCTGGAAGATGTGGGATTTTCCATGTACCTGATCAGCATCATCGATGAACGTTGAGGATCTGATGCAGACGCAAAGGCGAGGATTGACAAAGCAAGGTCTCCATCCCTACTGTTGAAGAATATATGGAACTCAAAACAACTGTCAACTGATATCAAAGTCAGAATCTTCAATACGAACGTCAAGTCAGTTCTACTGTACGGAACTCAAACTTTGTGAACTACCACAACCATCATCATTAAAAGTACAGGTATTTATAAACAACGGTCTACGAAAGATACTTACTGTCCGTTGACCCGATACCATCAGCAACAACCTACTGCGGGAGAGGACAAACCAGCTTCTACCTGAAGAAGAATAAATTAGGAAAAGACCCTGGAGGTTGATAGGAAATACATTGCGGAACTCACCAAACTGCATCACAAAGCAAGTGCTAACTTGGAATCCTGAAGAGAAAAGGGAAAGTGGAAAGCAGAATAACACCCTTCGTCGAGAATCGGAAGCAAACCTGAAAAGGATGAACAGCAACTGGAAGCCATTGGAAAGGATTGTCCAGGACAAAGTTCGATGGAGAATGCTGAAGGGCGGTCTATGCTCCTCCACGAAGGATAACGGGCGTAAGTAAGTAAGTGGTGGTGCTATGACTGTTCGTCAATTGTTATGTCTGGTCATCGCTGATTGTTATATCTGAATCGCTTATTACTTATACTTGTAAAACGATGAACCACTCCAATTCCCACGATGCGAAGTAAGGACACTAAGACTGGTACAAATGAAGGTTTATCAACCACACAAGACGACGATCCTAGTCGAAAAAACACTGATTTATATATTGATTACACACCTATTTTTATTGATAATTAAGATCAAATGACATATGAAAAATACCCAGAGTTATAATAAATCACTGAGTGTCATGATGAGCTTAGTCCATTTTATTTTAATACAAGAATATCAAATTGAATTAAAACAGAAGTAGTGTCGAACAAGAATCATGAGTAAAAGAATGTAAGTTTGTTTTTTAATCCCATCGTATCAGATGGTAACCATACTTACAGATGAAGTAAATATTTGATCTCAAGTAAAATGATATTGAAACGATTTATGTGCTATATTATTCATCAAAATAGTACATGACAGAATATGAATAAAATACTATAACTGAAAGTATCCTTGGATCCACTGAGCTCATAGCTATAAATACATTTTGAAAAATTAAAGGCGAATATTTCTAAAACACCATATCCTTAAAGTATGTATATATTTATACCCTATTTGGTATAAATTGCACAAAATCTTATGCTCTATGCTTGTTGACAGTTATGATTTTTATTATATATATTATTTGTGTATTATACATTCTACATAACCTAATGATTAATAGGCTAAAATGGTAAACAAACTCAAGCAGTCTGGAACACACAGATAGTTGGTAATTGGAGAAATCTGAAGATGTCTGAAGCAAATGAATACCAAATAGCCTTTTTGTGAAAAGAGTTTTGGTAATCTAGTCATTTGTATATTCAGCAGGTAGAAATGATATAAAGTCCGTGTATAACAACTGATTTAGATAACAGTAAATACGTCAGTGTGTTATGACTTTATGTTCGGCTAGTTAAAACGGTTTTTATCCACCAAATGAGATACGACTATACAATTTTCATACTGTGCCAAACCAGAGACGTTTGACCGGTATGAGCAGCCTAGTGTCCTTATTGGTCTCTTTTTCGCCTAGCCCTTCCAGCTGAGTTCAGAATGCCAATACAGCTTCCACTATGCGAATCGAATCGAATCAGTTATTTCAGACACACTGGGTTTTTATATCAATCAAACAGACTGCAATGCACCATAAAATAGGAAATAACATTCATACACAATAAAGCCAAAAAGTGACTGTGAACGTGGGAGGCAGTAGTCAATGAACTGAACATAGCTTAAAAACAGTAAATCGCACAATAATAATCTATGAGTCAAAATGAAGCTTATAATAAGATGAATATAAATATACAAAATCTAATTACTGAATAGTTATATCATGAGAATATATAGATAATATTAGTCCATTATAGGTCTCAGAAGTTACTCGTGATTTGATCTTCGCTCGGATATAACACAGTGAACATAACTAGCCAATTAGAAGTGATATTAAAGTATGAAGACAAAATATGGAAAAAACCCGATGAAACTCTAACAACTCAAAGTTCATACTTCACTACACAATTAAAATCATCACACTATACAGATCATTATAAACATTTCAGTTGAGGAACTTTTACTGAAATATTTGGTTAAAGATAATGAAATGGTGCTTCAATGGATCAGACCTACTTGAATGATAATAGTGCATCATTCATGAAAACAAACAACCCAAGTCAAAAGGTTCCGTAAAGAAAAAGAAAAAAGAATCTGATTACTAGAATTAGTTTCTGATGAAAAATTTCTTACAACAAAATATGATCAAGATGGCTATTCATGAGGAAATTGATCTAATAAATAAAAATTGTTTAACAGATTACGTTTTAATTTCAGAAAATCTCATATAACTTCTCAAAACTATAAAACAAGGGATAGAGCTTAACTTAGCCATTTTAATCGTGAGAATGAGAATTTATGGCAAAGATGCATTTTTAGTACAATGATATAGACACATAAATTCAATGTGTATAGTTTGGCTTCCCGAAATCACCTAATGAACATCGAATTATATAACTATAGAACACTGTTACAATCTTGTTCGTAAATCACAAATTTATCAACCGATAAAGTTTTTCATTTCCATTTATAGCTCCCAGATATAGAAAAAATACAAGTGATTCATAATCCAGTTGTAAAACAGTATTCTATATTAAATCAGAAATATTCTAATGTAGAATAGAAGTATATAATAATAATACAAACCTTAGTTACAAAAATTCCTGAGTCACCGTTGATTGTTTCATTTCCAACACCACCAGTTATACTGAATCCTAAACCACTTTTTGTCCCTCTAGTGAGAAATACTTCCACAATTAGCGGACCAGGTTTTGGAGGGGGTGTAGGTCTGGTGCCAAGATTTGTAAATTCGTTAGATTGGACGGATCTTTGAGATTTTGTATTTCCAGTCAACTTTGTTGGCTAGAGTTTTTACTACTTCCTTGTAGACTATGATGACCACGGCCCAACGATGCACAACCAGCAGTTACGCGTTGCAGACCACTGCACCAAGAAAAAGCTGGAAATCTGTCAATTGGAAAACACATTACAAAAACTTACATTTTTTCAATAACGGGCTATAAACTTACAGCTAATCAGAAATCAAAGGAAAAATAACATCAAAGTTAAAATCAATCTCTAATAAACAAAAACCAAATATTTCGATTGCCATGTTAACTACTTTACTGCTTCACATATTCGACATTAGGCTTCTGAATTTCAGTTTTTATGGAAAATTAGAACCTAAAGCTGGAAAGTTAACACTAACAGAAGTTAGTCCATAATTTGCAAATATTCAGGACAACCTGGTATAATAATCACACACACTTTTAGATTTTATCTCTGGAAGTCAGAGTTCTTTTGTAAATAAATTTGAAAACTTAGTCTTAGATACAAACTATAAATTGTCAACTCCCGTCTAACAAAGAATCTTCCGTTAATTTAACTTGCGTCATCAAAATACTGAAAAAATTACAATTGTTCTTTATCAAATCCGCCTAAACTAGTCACCATGAAAATTTACAAAAATGAAATTTTCAAATGGATTATAATAAAAAGTTTTCGATCTGTTTATTTGTATCGATAGTATAAACAATCTGACGACAGGGAAATCTTGAAATTTCACAATAAACAATTAGTTCATGCAACAGAATAATACAACATAAACAAACAAACAAAAAGATAGATAGGCAAGACTGAAACACAAATGAACACAGAAATATATATTATCTGTATTAATAAAATGTGAAATTATTCAATGAAAGAAGAGAATCAACACATATACTTCACAAATAAAAATGTGTCAACAGCGATTCGTAATGATAGATATTGTATTTAAATGTTCATGATATGAACATAAAAGTATTTGCAGCAAGATTAAAATGCATTCATTACCCGAATGAAGCATGATCAAAGTGAATTGCTAATCCTTTTTCAAACATACTTTGTAATAATTCGTTATCTATATGGTTGAAGTGAATTACTTAATTCGTATTTTAAAAAAAGTGGATGACGTTATCTGTTAGCTGGTACTCACTAATGAATGAATTTAAAGGAAATACTTAATTATGTTAGAGATATTAAATAGGATTAGTTTGCTTTCTATCAGCCAATCGCATCTATCATTTAAAAATAAATCAGTATTGAAATAATAAGTGACCTGATAATTTACTTGCCCGGAATTATTAAAGGTTTTAAATGGTTATCGGCATTATCTGTTAAATAAGAAAATGAATAATAATAATAATTCGGAACGAAAATTGTACTTTGAGTTTGTTGAAGCGTTTACATCAAACAACTAAATAGAATTTATCCTGAAGACGCTTCTATACAAACTAATAATAATGACGACAATACAGATAATATGAATTACCTGGATGAATAGCTTTGTTAAACTATCGAAACTACTTATTTATAGATGTTTTGGTATTATTCAAAGATTTCAACATAATCCAACATTCCTATGTTACTCATGTTTATCAGAAAATGTCTTATTATTTAATGTACCTTCAATATATGCATAAAGTATCAAAGGTAAAAATGTATCATACGTACAAGTTGACCGAATCTGAAGTGAGTCTCTAGAACATCCATAAAATATTAAGTAGAAAAGCAACTGTTAAATACTTAAAAATTAAAACACTTATAAGATGATCAGAGTTTTACTGTTATTCATGTACATATTTTATTTATAAATACACAAAACAGAAAAGATTAAAACAAATACTAAGGTAGTAATTTACATTATTGGAATAAGCTTATAAAATAGACTAAATTGTCAAAATTAATAATATCTGTTGTTCATTTGAACCAAAAAAACAGTGGAACATGATAGATATCTAAAAATAGGCGACAAATTGGACAAATTTTACGGATGACTTCATTTAAACGTATTTTTGTTTTTCCCCGACAAAAGTTGGATAGTGATATAGTTACATTTAAAAAAAAATTTAAGTTATTTTATAACCGACAACTTTCATTTAAAATTCTTTAACTTATATTGAACTGATAGTCATTAATTATGTAACAAAAATAAACTAAACATTGAAATATTTTCATTGATTTAATATGTTCAGTTACAATACTGAACGTGTTCGAGTGAACAACATTTTTTAAATCGATCGACTCCACAAGTTATAATATCGAAAAAGTTTGGCGAAATTCATTTCAAAGACAATTAAAAAAATCAAACATTATTATTATGATGGTTATTTTCTGTTGTACAGTTTTATGGTTATTTGCTTTACAAACTGATATCATTTAAAAAAAACGGATAAAGAACCATGTAAAACATTAGATAGTCAGTATTTATTTAACAAAATAACAATTAGAGTGTTGTTTTGTTCAGTCTATGTTTTGGTCAGTAAATGATAAATGATAAATAAATTGTTTGTTAGTACTATAACACAGATAGCTCCATTACACAAATTGGTTTAGGCAAAATAAAAATGCACGACTTAATGAAATCATTTTCGGTTCAACTCACTACTGATTACAATTAAGCGTTCTCGTTAACGTTGTACAATACTGTGAAATACATGATAATTATATTAGTTTTTTAATTATCAAATAGGATTTTTAAAACACCTCATTCTTCAGTAAATAATCACTGTGTTCAGTTATCCCTAAGAAATAATTAATTATTATTATTAATAATTTAAATGGATAAGGTTGTGCAGATCATTATAAAGTGATAAGAGCAGTTAAATTAATTTCAAGTAATATGCCTTTCAAAGAAGTTGGTTATGCATAGACAAACAGTCAAGGTAGAGGAATATATTATGACTAATTATTATAGTATAAAAACAATTAGCCTAAAAAAGGAAATGTACTAGCTCTCTGAAGTTTCATCAATGAGTTAAATATGTTACAATATAAAAACTGATGTTTAGCTCTTAATAGTAAATATGATTGGCTATGGAGCGTGAACTGACAGACACATCATACTGACTGTTTAATTTTTGTTACTATAGTCTATATCTGCTTTGGACTTACTGAGTATAAACTCCCTAAGATTATGTTGAATAAAGTATTGACTCGTTTGAACCCCAATTTTCTACTTATAATCGTGCATTCAGTCTGTGTATAGCTTATCGATCGGATATGCAGCCTAGTGGTAGCATAACATCGGTCACCAGTCCTATTATCTTGTGATAATAGTATATCGTAAAAACAAAAAATATTTTTTATTTACCTATTGCATCAAAAATTAAGGATACATTCATAAGACTACTACTTTTTTAAATAGAAAATGAATCCATCCTGTCTGTAACACGAATAATCAAAATTAGAAGTAAATTAATATGAAGTTAATGGTATGTTCATAAATCATTCATCATGTTGATATAAATACATTTTTAGATGTTTTAGTGATGGTAAGTGCAATTCTTAGTTGTTTTTTTCATATATCCTGAACTTTTCCACTGAAGCCATTAGCTCAACATACATTTCATTGTTCAACAGCAAGCTTTCAGTGACCATTGTTTACACAATCACATTCATATACTAACTAAATTATACATACAATAATGATAAATCAAAACACTTTTTATAATCAACCCAACTGAAAATTTCAAATTTGTAGGAAACCATTACAATAAAAACAATAATACTAAGAATATGAAGTATTTAAAGTATAGAAAAATAAATGAACTCAAGTTGTCTGTTCCTATGTAATATGATCCAATACAATTTACGAATATACACATATATATGATTCTCAAGGCGAATAAAACGTTTTAGTAATAAAAAAAGTAACTAAGATGTTGAAACATATATTGTTATCAGAATGAATGCTAAAACGGACTTGTCTGCTAACTTTTGCACTCGGCTCTTAAGCGTTCTTGAATCAAATTAATGATCAAGATTCAAACATACAAATTTGTTAAGCTGTTCAGCTTTATGTATGTTAAAAAAATGAGAGTTAATTAAAACGCAAAGTCAGAAAACAAATCATTTCAATGAAAAATTAGTTTTACAGATTTGTAAAATTATAAAAACCTTGGTTGAATAATTAAACTCATTGTAGAACAAACTAAACAAAGGTCCCATTATTCTTCTATAAATTCAAACGCACGTATTAAATGAATAAGTTATCATGAAAAATTTACCATTACATTTTTAAATGATTAGCCACAAAGTCCCTAATAAATAAACGAACAGCAACTAATTTGACCAAAAGGATGCTTAGCTTTTTTTCCGTGTTGCCAGAAACATCTTCGTGATGATTTTTATTATTCACAAAACCATTATTAGAAAACGTGTGATCGGATATACTGAAATATTATAATACCTGTGTAATTACTATTCTAGTGCAAAAACTCTAGAATAATATTCCAACAGATTAGCTATTATGCCAAATGGAAAAATAAAGAAATTATTTTAAAAGCTATAAGTCATTAATTATTTGAATGTGGGTAAAATCTGACTCAATTTTCATTTATGTTCATTATACAGCAATATAACAAAATAATAAGTGAGTATGGGAATAATATGACAATAAATGTGTTTAATGTAAACAATTAACACCAAATCCTAGGAACTAAATGGTCTGAAATCAAAACACTTGACTGAAAAAACTATCTTACGGAAGATTTTACTCATGGACATTAATTTCAAAGAAGATATAATAGTAGAGATCTTACGAAACCAAATAATCTAATTTTTGAAGAGAACCTTTTATTCAGTTGAGTTACGAATTGTACTTTCCTGCAAATATCCTACAAAAGAATATACTAAGGATACACTTTAGGCCACCTCAGTGTTTATCTGTCAGTTTACTTTCTCTTTTGCAGCTTGTTATATCAGATGTACAAACCATGCACCTTACAAACGCATATCCGAACACTATCCAGAATAGTTATTAAACGGTGAGTATAAATCAGTGAGTAGCTCGACTGTTGAACATGTAAACAATTCCGGTCATCTATCTCCACCAGAATCTTCATTGAGGACAACTCACAAAATAAAATTAGTCAATTTGAACGGAACCTGAATAAGAAACTAGTGCACAGCGGAGAATATGTTGATTTACTGACTCATGCCTGGTCTTGATGTTCAGATCCGATTTATCCAATCCATTCGATTATCATGTTTCTAACACCTCTTCATATTTTGCTAGTAACTTGAAATGTATTTGGTTCCTCTTAATTCATCTTCTTATATTATTCATGTGGACAGTTATCTTTCACATCTCTGTTCTATATATTATTTTGAAGTGTTTGTTCGTAGTTTCATCCTTCTCATAAACATTAAGTGGATAGTCTTTCATAGATCATGGCTATATTTTATTTCATTGTTATTACCCTACGGCTACTACGCAACCCTGACTCCTAACTGACTTTTGGTACCTCTGACAATGACGCAATAATCTGTTTATTTCTATCAAAAACCACTTTACGTACAAAATAACTAAAAATACAACTTTACAGATATAGTAAATGATATCAGTGAAAGGACTTTCTTTACTCAAAAGTTAATTTTCTCAGTTCTTAATTGATACAAACTGCACAAACATTAATGAATATATATCGATTAAACGGGAATAAGCATACTATTGGACTATATGTTTTTAGAAAAAAGAGTAACTTACCCAGCGCATGCTACCCCGCGTCTAGATAATCTTGAACCAGTACTAGTCTGTCTAATACTAGATTGACTACCTTTTTGATTACTTTGTATTGTAGCATTATTGAAATCGTTTGGTGGTTTGTTAACATTACTAGACCTTTGATGCTTTGGTTCAACAATAACTCCAGTCACTGAAGGTGATACATGAACACTGGTTGATTTATGTGGCAATTTGCTTGCTGAATTTGTTGTTGTTGAGTTCAATGTATGCTTGCTATCTCTATGATCAAATAGTGATCCGCTTATCAAACTAGTTGTTGTTACACTTGCACCACATTCAATACTTTTCACTCCTCCTGCACTGCCTGTACTTGTACTAGCTAACGATTCAATATTATGTGCATTTAATGATTGATTTGATAAAGATGGTTGATGGTTTGACGGTTGAACAGTTGTCGGTGACGTTTTCATAATTTGTTTCGTAGGATTTATCGAAGGTTTAGGATGAGAATAGGACGAAGAACAAGACATCAGTGAATATTGTTCAGAAATAGCTAGTTCTGCTTTACGTTCAACTATCTGAAGTGAAATATGTAAAAAACTTTTACGTAATTACAGCTTAAATGTACGAAAAACGAAATAATTTATCAAATCCAGTTTAACAGTTAAAACGTTCAAAATAAATATATTCAACACATATGAACTCTTACAATTATTAAAAACATAATAATATGTTACTTATTATAATTGTTTTGAAAAAAAGACTTATTTAGAGTTACGATGTTGTGATCATCTAAGTATTTTAGCACAACCTGTCAAGCTGACGTAATTATATGATTAACCAAATTTTTATAATAAAAAATATCATAGTGATAATGAAAGACATTTGGAATATATGAGATTTTACATTTCTAATTAAAAAATAGCAAAGAATTTATAAATAAATTAACGATTAAAGAAATAATAAACTTTTAAATTTTCAATATAAATGAATAACTATTATTTACATAGGCGGGAACAGTTGTATATTTCAAAGCTTATTTGATCTCAAATTCATTTTATCCTGAGAAAATTTTAGTACTGAACACCTATTTTTACCTCGGTTAGAAGTCCCCGGAACTAGCTGTTTAAAAGTCCGAACGACAACAAATCTATGAGTAAAATATTGTTTATCGAATGAGTCTGTACTAAATTCATGAGATACAATCTGGCTATTGACTTTATTTACTTTATATTTCAGTGCTTTAAAACACATCTGTTATTTGATTGTACTACGTTAGCTTTCGACACTTATTAAATCTAAACATAAATAATATCAGAATGAGTAGAAAATCTAACTTTTCAATTCATTGGGATATTACAAATATATTAATTTATTTATAACAGTATACCCAATGCTCAATTTATTCGAAATTATCAAGTCAAACCATAGTAATGATACCTATAATTCTAAACATGTTTAATATTTATGCCAGTATGAGATAATGCAAATCACATCCGAAAACTGATCTCTTTTAACAACCAATATTTGACCTTTCAATCACTAATTTTTGATCACTGAATAGACTATAGGATTTCTTAATCCTATGCTTAAAAATTTACAAAACGATGTCTATTTTCTTTCCATCAATATGCAAAACTACTGAAATAGTTTCGAATATGAGACAACAAATAATAGAATAATTCATTACTGTTATTCGTGTTATGAAAACATTATTTGAATATCCACGTATTTGTAAAATAAAACATGCACACGCACATTACTTAGTCACATTAATCTTTTTTACTACATCTCAAATTGATGTTAGTCTGGATTAGATAAAATTAATGATAGACAAAAATTTACGAAAAATTTAATTTCACAAAGGAAAATCGTTTGTCACGAGTAAACAGAAACAAGTTTACTATGAAATATCAAACCCAGCTATTAATGGAATTCAGATTAAATAAATTTTGATATTAAAATGAATAATTTTTTTCATATCAGAAGGGTCTTGTGAATATTATAGCAACTTCAATGACTGAGATCATGAGTCAATTTCATGGATTGGTTGAAGTTAGACATTAACACCGTTGGATGCTGACTCAGTGGTCTAGTGGTTAAGTGCTAGCGCGCGAGACTGAAAGATCCTGGGTTCGAGTCCCGCGAGGCGAGGACATGGGTGCACATGACTGAGAAGTCCCACAATAGGACGAAAGGGCTATCTAGTGGTTCCAGGTTTTCCATGGTGGTCTAGCTTCAATTGACTCATGATTTCAACCATTGAAATAATTTTTTTGTTTGTTTTTATAACTGGAATACTGTTGAGAAAAATGATACACTTTTGGATTATAATTTTTATCTAAAATTGTGAACAATTTAAAATAGCTGGAATTATTGAAAATTAACCTTACTGAAATAGTTAAAATATATCTGCTATCCATTCTATATGATAAGAGTATTAAAACGTTAAGTAATAGTTAAGATGAAAATGACACTAGTTGTATAATCGGTACTAAATTTCATAAAATATGAAAAAATTTAAAATAAATAAATACAAGTGTTCTATTGCTTATAAACATTTAAGTCATAAAATGAAAGCAAATTAAACCTGAATTTAATTAAACATCTAGGATAACATTTTAAAGTTTGTCATTTTATAAAAAAAACAATCAGTTTTAAATTGATCAACTTTACTTGTAAATGAGAAAAATTATTCTCTATTACCAATTTAAAAAAATAATAACTACAATTCAGCATAATAGTCGTTTGATTTAGAAATGATTGATCTCCATCATCCCTATGACGAAATAATAAAAATCCAAAAAGTGATAAAAATGAAATAAAAAGATTCAACTGAAATTTTTTTAAAGTTCAAGACAAGATATGAATGATATACCTCTTCACTAATACGGTCGACATCATCCTTAAGGTTACCAACATTCATTTTTTTACTAGCCTGAAAATCTAAGCTCAAATGTTTTCACTAACTTTAATGGCACATATAAATAGTTAATGACTAATAATAATGATGATACATCATGGTTTGATCTACACCATATTTTTTTTAAATTAGCCGACATCACTGGGAAATAGTAGACCGTCCGTTGGTAAACATAAAATATAACTCATATGTTTTGTTAAACAAGTTGAAATGCTCAAACAATAATAAAATAAATACCAGCTACACTTAATTTCATCAGAATAACCTTTTAAAATTAACAAAAGAAAGTCTTTTATCGTCTTAAGAATGATAGTATGGTTATATATATATATATATATCATTTTATTGCACAAATGTGTTTAGTGCTTAATAAATTATCAAAATGAAATCTGACATAAATTCCCCACCGCTTTACGACCAACTAACACCTAACTAACTACATTCAGTAATTGTAACGGTTTGTATCAGGACACAATCAGTCAATGTGTGGTAACATAAGTATTGTGTTAGATGATATTGAACTTATGCTTTATAAATGACCACTGATTTAAGTGATACAACGGTTGTACCATCAACTTAGTTTATTCTTGTTATTTTCATACAGAGATTCATCGAGAATTTCATCATAAATGATATTATATGATATTATACACTGTTTACATGTTCGAACAATAATAATAATAATAATATAAAAATTAAGAATTTTCCAAATTACGCACTTTTTAGTTAAAGATATCATGCTCTCATTCTGTCATATAAGTTCACTGTTGAAAGGCATTTTATTCATTTTTACTAAAAACTATATTTTTATTCACTAATCCTACGATACTGTGTATATTTAATATAAAAGCTATTTACTAACTGTAGAAACTTGAAACATTTTTTCACAAAAAATAAATTGATTATTTATGAAAGCAATGTTCTAATTAATCGAAAAAAGAATTCATATGAATGAAACTGTTGAAAGATTCTTGATAATTAGGTGAAGAATAATGTTTCACATAACATTGGTTTTATTGTTATTTGCTATCAATTGAGGTAAGCTTCATGACGAGCTGACATCAATTGAATAACTAGTAAAACTCAAAAATATGTACACAGCTCTTGTTTGTTGACTTGTGATTCCTCAACAGTGCACACTCACAAAATCACACTGGATCAAACATAGGATTTAATTCTTTTTCACATATTTAGGAATAATTACAGCCTTAAATAGTGAATTAATAGAAATACAAGAGTCGAATACGCAACGGTAACTTGAAAACATCCTTTGTATGGTAAAACCATTGGTTATGTATATTAAAGTATATAGATTATAGAATTTTTCTAAATTCACATCAAGTTGAAAATAATATAAGACTGTTGATGCCAGTTTGTCTATCGCATACTTACTATTATTATGGTTGTTATATCAAACAAACCTCATAAACCCAACACGGATACTAACTTGTTTGTACTTACCCAAATAATAACTGTTCAGTTCAGTATGATTACGAATTATCGAAATAAGATTCATGTAATTGTGTCATGACAATAAAGTAGTCGAATACTGTTTTTACTTATTTTCACAGTTATTGTATCTGTTTCGAAAAGCAATATTTCTTAATCAAATTTTAACTTAAACATTTGAAAATAAAACTTCTGATAATTGAATAATAGTATAGCTTAAACATTAAGCTAATCAGGTTAAAACCATAATGGGTTTTTTATAGAAAGTATTTTGTCGATCATTATACAGTTGAATATTTTTGTTTCGGAAATAAACTAACCAAATAACCTCTATTTTCAAAGATGTTATTTATCTTTGATTTATAGAGATGGTTTGAATTTCTATTTGTTTTGCTCACTCAGTCATACTATGATGATAAAAAAAAACAATGATAAGTAGAAAAACGTAGTGAATAAATATGTCTTAAGGGAAGGGAAACAGAAATAAGTAATTTATTTATCTCATATCACTTTCTATGATTAGTTTCGATATTATTATTATTACTGTTGGTATTAATAATGATATTACAACAATCATAATTAGTACTGTCAGTCCTAATACTGATACTAAACATTATTTATTTAGAGAACAGTGACAGAATTAATTCGAAAGTCAGAATGAATTAATAAGAAAGAATAATAGTTTAGCGTATAGGGAGTTATAAGTCACAATAGATTATACTAACGATCAATTTAATTTAGTGAAAATTCAACCGATGAACTGTGTCAGACCGAAAACAATCCATTAGAATGACCATGAGAGAAGAAAACAACAGAAGAGTTTTCTAACATTAACAGTTAAATGTATATAGTGTTATTTTACTACTGACTCTAAGACTTACTTACTTATGCCTGTTACTCCTAATGGAGCATAGGCCGCCGATCAGCATTCTCCAACCCACTCTGTCCTGGGCCTTCTTTTCTAGTTTCATCCAATTCTTGTTCATTTTTCTCATGTTCATTTCCATTTCCCGGCATAATGTGTTCTTTGGTCTTCCTCTTTTCCTTTGGCCTTCAGGATTCCATGTGACGGCTTGTCTTGTGGCGCAGTTGGGTTCTTTCCTCAATGTGTGTTCTATCCACTTCCAGCGCTTCTTCCTCCACTGGGATCTGGTTTGTTCTCTCCCAAAGTCGGTTGTTGCTAATATTGTCCGGCCAACGGATGTGAAGTATTTTGCGTAGACAGCTATTAATAAACACTTGTATCTTTGGATGATGACTTTCGTAGTTCTCCAGGTTTCCGCCCCATACAGTAGAACTGTCTTGACATTTGTATTGAAAATCCTGACCTTGGTGTTAGCTTGCAGTCGGTTGTTTTCAGTTCCAGATGTTCTTCAGTTGTAAATATGCTGCTCTTGTTTTGCCGATCCGCGCCTTCACATCTGTATCAGATCCACCATGTTCACCAATAATGCTGCCCAAATATGTAAAGGTTTTTACATCTTCCAAATCTTCTCCGTTAATTGTGATTGGATTGGTGCATACTGTGTTGTATCGGAGAATCTTGCTTTTCCCTTTGCGTATATTGAGACCTACTGCTACTGAGGCTGCTGCTACACTGGTGGTCTTCTCCTGCATTTGTTGTTGCGTGTGTGATAGAAGAACCAGATCATCTGCGAAGTCTAGATCGTCTAAATGCATCCTAGATGTCCACTGTATCCCGCGTTTTCCTTCACATGTTGACGTCTTCATGATCCAGTCGATCACCAGGAGGAAGAGAAAGGGTGAGAGTAAGCAACTTTGCCTGACACCGGTCTTTACCTCAGGCAAGGTTGCTTACTGACTTTAATACGTTGAACTAAAATCAAAAAAGCACAAAATATCTAGCTTGATGTAAAATAGCAAAGAATGGGAGATGGAAGGAAAGAGGAATATAGAAATAATGATAGCCTACCAGTGAAGAGTAACACGGGAGAAGAATGCACATCTGGATATATATATGAGTGAAATTAATGGCTAGATGTGGAAATAACAATATGCTTGACCCGAAAAAAAAGCAATGAAAGTAAAACGAGTTGAAATGGGAATACATTAGAAACGAGAATGTTGATAACTATTCACTCCACCCCATTAGATTTATCAAACATAATTTGATCTCATTTCTTACATAAACCATTAGTGATAAAGATTCATGCTAATACCTCTCGTTTTTCTGAAGGTGAAAGGCCTGTAACATCACTACTTATTTATTAATTACGATGAATGGCGTGAAAAAATTTACTGATCGCCATATTCTTCTCATTTCATCAATGATTATGGAATTTCACTACGCTTATTTACATGATTTCAGCCATTTTATGACATGAATTTTATTAAATTACTTTTTAATAACGTTTCTCAGGCCATAATTCACTTCAAATGTTGAAATATTTGTTTTATGCTAGATCAAATTATTTTAATAATTCTAACATCCAGTATTGTTGTAATGGACGCTACTCACAAGGAAATTTGTACTAAGTGTGCAGCGGAACGTGACATCGAAGTTGCAAAGGAGTGATTAGTTTCAGTGCATCGAAGGCACGGTGATGGCAAAACACTTGGAGACCAGATGAGAAAACACTTCTATCACAAAGCACATCAAAATATGCAAATGGATGACTGAAGGCTATGTATGTGTATTATGTAAATACTTCGTAACTTACTGCAATAAATATAACTTCTTTATGCCTATTGTCTTATCTACACCATTATTACTATAAATATGTTACTATACCTCGTCTCCCCTTATTAGGAATAGATGACTATGTTATTGAACCATATTGGTAGTAATGAAAAGTTATTTGTCAACTTAACTAAAATCATATCCATTCGGTTAGATAAAAAGGTAAGACATAGCATATGTACATGTCCACCGAAGTTATGACATATTATCTGCATGAAGAAAAGGATTTACAGTGAGGGAAAGCACAACAGTCAAAATAATATTATTAAAAGAAGAGTAAACCAAATGTGAAGAACAAAATCCAAACAGATCGCATTAAACTGGAGGTTGAAAAGACTGAAAAAATATTATGCTGAACATTCGGAAAAGAGAAAACGAACAATTCTGCATGAATAAAACAGATTTTGAGCTATGGTATGTCAGGTCTGAAACCATAGTTTACGTTTATCCTATGGACATCAGATTTACAAACTCTGGAGTTATGTGTCTACTAACCATACATGACCTATTCCAGCAAAAGTTACGTACATCCATTTGATTCCACGAATTATCTGTTCTCTTTGATATTGGATGATCGAAGACAAAAATGCTCCTACTGATTGCTTTTAACCGTCTAAAATCTAATACTATGCGCTATGGTGTGAACTTACTTAGTCTAGAGACTAGTTTGTAAACATGATTGAAGGGATTTGACAATAGGATATAAGTTACTAATCAGTGACATATTAGTTTAATCTGATTTTTTTTAAATGGTTGGTCATTCATAACAGATTACCAAATATTTTTGTCTGACTAAACTCGGAAAAAACATTAAATTTGAACGTACCAATTTTAATTTGGAACCAGCCAGCTGCAAAGCTTTAACTGCTTCATTATGTGTAGCGCCAATAAGACTAATACCATTGACTGATAATATTCTGTCACCAAATCTGAAAAAGTAGAACACGATATAACTCACTTCGTTTCCCAACCACATTTAAAGGATTTATATAAAAATATCTAACCAGCATAGATAAGAGTTTACCGAAATTCTGGTAGGAAGTTATTATAGATTGGGTTTAATCCATTCACCAACGGCATTGGATGATTATCAAGCTATGTAATGATTCGATTGACACTAGAAATCTGGACCATTTGATACCAGCCTGGCGGTCTGAATATTTCATGTTTTCAACAAGACCTTGTTAGGATAGTCGGAAAAATATACCAATAATTATCGTGTTAAGTCTATGGTGGCCTTGGACCTTAAATGTACATTTCTTATTGGTCGATGTTTATTTCACTTGTTAAATATTTTGTTAATGTTGTTTTCTATTTTATGGTACGATGTGGTTTGTTTGTTTGGTATATAAATAGAGTATGTCTGAAATACAATGATTCATATCTCAGAGGCTGTGACTTGCGTTCTTGACTCAACTGGCTAGGACAGACAGCGAAGCAGGGCCAATCAGGGCACTAGGTCGTCCGTTACGTGTCACAGAAGCGATCGATATAAACGCTGCTTACCAAAACCTGCAGTCTCACACACGTTACAACAGACCTAAAAGCATTTGATTCAATCCCCAGGTACGAAGCACTTTAGGTTACACGTTGAGACAAAGGAGAATTCAAGAGTTTTTTGCTTTCATACAGTTCCCATCAGAGTTGACTCCGTCATTAAAACTGCCGTCAGATTAAACAATATATGCAAAAACTTCTTAACTTTCTAAAAAGTCACATACAAAAAATCCAATATTATGCTCCCAAAAATGTTACATCTCTCATAACACAATTATTCCATTCATAGTGATTTGTTTAATTTAACAAGACAGTTAGTTGTAAACATAAAACTAGAGAGAAAAATAAAACACCTTAAAATTGGGGATTGTTTGAATAATTTGCATAAACAAACTAATATATAGTTTCTAAATATCATTTCTCCCTTTTTATCCTGATAAAATATAATTACATTATTGGAACATTGAAGAGGTAATAGAGATTGTAGCAACAACTAAAGATGGAAAACAAAGACTTGGAGAGAAAATTGATCAGATTAAAATCTCCAGTAAAAGAAATCAATGAATGAATGAACGGATAAATAATAAGACAGTGATATCACATGTCGTGTTTTAGTTTCTTTCTGTTGTTGGTTCTTACCCTCCTCGCTCATCATTTTGTTGATATGTATATGGACACTGGTAATATTGAGTAAGAAAATAATATATACATATGCTTTCGAGTCGTATGTGATAGAGTGACATTAATATCGTAGTATTCCCGAATTTCGATAACTGGTTACCATTAGTGGTGAGCGAACAAATATCATATTGTTTTTGAACTCAAAACAATTGAAAAAATGCTAGTAATGTTTCTGCACTTAAATATTATTCATTGTAAACTATCAACATAGTCGAATGGATTGACTCAAAAGAAGCACGAATTAAAAGCTTGAGCATTGTAGAGTCATTAATGATTCGACAGTTTAAGCTTGAACTATCCGTACAATCTCTCATACTTCCACGGTACTAGAACCTATCCTGATTTGTTTTCTTTAGTAGTTAACCCTCTGTCCTTACCTTCTACCGATCTTTAAAAATTATTCAGCTGTTATTATCACATTTATGTTTTTTTATGTATTCTTCACATCTGTCCAGTAGACAATCATTCCTTACATTTCTGTTCAGTAAGTTATTTCCATCTCATTACTTTTCCCACAACCTGTAGACCAATACGCAGCCATGTTGTGATACTTGAAATATCCGAACACTTGGTGATTTACTCTCTATTTTTAATAGGCTTAAATATTTTCGAACTATAAACCTTGATTAAACAGCTTCAGCAAACGACATTTCCGAAAACAAAATTCTCTTTGCACAATTGCCTTTAATCTTTTCCTTAATGATCAACGGATTTCTTTAGTGACTTTTGAATCAGTAATGCAATTATTGGTAACACATATACGATGTGATAGAATGAAAGAAAAGGTTTCAACATTAAAAAAAGTCTATCAGTAAGTATTTAAGTCACCCTCACAATGAACTGACACTGGAAACCAAGAAGATGTGAACAGCGATTTCATAGCTATTTCTTAGAAGTTAGTATGAAGAAACTAACACAAGAATGAAATCATGTTCTTCAACTTTTAAGTTGAACACAACGACAATAGGCAGGTGCATTGAAATTCAATGGCTAGCATTTCCATCAGTATTCTGTTTAAGATATCTTATAATCCTCATTGTACATTATTGGTAAATTTCTATCTCACTCTCAATTCGACAGACAATAAAATTCACAATTTACCACAAGAATTTCCAAAAATAGATAAGAAAGGTAGTTACCGAAAGAATTCCCGACCGTTGCTGTTACCTTGAAGTGATGGTTGCGCTTGTCTATAGCAAGAAACCAATCGGCCTATACTTACTGGAACAATCGTTTCTCAAGGTCCTACCGTGCCAGACAGGTCGATTGAAGAGCGAGAAGACTAAAAGCAGCAAATCCAAGGTCCGAGGGTGGAGTCGTACTGCTGGCTGTACAGAGGTGTGATGACAGTAAGGTGTTTCCTTCAGACAATCAATATAACAGAAATGCTGCCTTCCCACAAAGGAAGGTTGGGGTTGTAGTCGTAGCACTAAGTACGAAGGCAGAACAAGCACTTTTAAAATGAATCCCTGTTAACAGTCGCCTATATGCTGTTCGGCTGAAAGGCTCCGTAAGAAATCGGAAGGATAGGGACACATATCGTTGCCTCCTCATCGTCTCTGCCCACGCTCCCATGACTGCAGCCTAAATGAAGTGGAAGATGACCTTCACTGGGAGCTTTTTGAACGTCTTTAAAAAGCTAAACACTCAGACGTAGCACTCGTAGCGGGTGACTTTCATGCCCAGGTAGGTAGCTTGAGACAAACAGAAAAACATTTAGGTGGGTATTTTAGTACTTCGTCTCAGCGAACAGGTAACGGTGACCGTCCACTGCAACTGTCCTCAGACAGTCGTTTAGTTTTAGCAAACACAAAATTTAAGCATAAGGGGAGACATCATCTAACATAGCGATCCACTGCACCAAATCAACGATGGACTCAAATAGACCATATTGCCATCAGTCATCGTCGGAGAGGCTCGACAGACGATTGTCGCTCAATCTGGAGTACATGGTTAAACTTCAATCATACTCCAATACGAGTACGCATTTGCTTGCGCTTCACTTGATGCAGAAAAACCACATTTAGAGGACCTATCAGAGTTGAACTCAGTGATAAGAAAGACAAAATTAGATTCCAGAAACTACTGAGGTCACACATAGGTAGTTCTGAAAATGAGGCTGACACAGATGTTGCTTAGAAAGATATATGAAAAGATGTGGAAACAGCAGTGACATCTATTAGTGATTTGAATCAAAGAGTTACGAAAAACCAATGGATTACTACTAAGTCTATCGCAGTGACAGATTCTCATAAACACGTCCCATCTGGCTCCGAACACGATGACGAGCGAAAACAAGTCGGACATAGATTAAACAAAAGTCTACGGAACGACTGTGAACAGTGGTGGGGAACCAAAGCAAAAGAGGTGGAAAAGTCAGCGATTGTAGATAACACAAGACAGCTTTTCAACCTAATAAAATAAACTGGAATTAAGAAATCAAGTGTGAGTGAAACACTAAACTTATCCGCTCTCAGCCCAAAAGTTTATAATGATGGGCGGAACACTTTAAGGAGCGGTTCAGATGACGTCTACAATCACCCACCATTTCCAAGCAGCCTATATAAAACACTGGAACAGGCTCTCTGAATCTAGTTGAAATTCAAAAAGCTATGGCTAATCCGAAACAAGGAAGAGCAACTGGTCCAGATGGACTGGCTACAGAGGTCTTTAAAGATACTGGTCCAGTTTTAGAGATTACGTTGACTAATATTTTAGTTAAAATCCGGGGACTGAATGTAATCCCACCTGACTGGTCGCAATCACTGATTATCCCAATATATAAGAAGGGCTCAAAATCATCCTGTGACAACCATAGAGAGATTAGTTTGACTAACAAAGCATCTAAAGTACTAGCCTCAATAATTATCAGACGCCTAACTAAGACTCGTGAACTGCAAACACAAGAAAATCGGACTGGCTTCGAATCTGGTCGTGGCTGCATCGACCACATATTCACCACTCGTCAGGTTCTAGAACATAGGCATACTTATCGGCGTCCGACAATGGTGGTCTTTCTTGACTTAAAAGCAGCATTTGACTCGGTAGACCGCGAGATTCTGTGGCAGTGTCTGTCATTGAAAGGCGTACCTCAGAAGAACATAAACCTTGTGAAGGCTCTTTACTCGAACACTACTAGTCGAGTCACCTACTTTTGCAACCTCAAGTGGTGTCCGTCAAGGCTGTCCACTTTCTCCATTTTTGTTCAACTTCATCATAGACCTATTGATGGAAAAAACATTCTCGTCTACTGATTTCTCGGGTATTGATCTCCTTCCAAGAGGTCCACTTATCGACTTAGAATACGCAGATGATATAGTCCTGTTTGGTGAAGACGCTGATAAAATGCAGAGTCTTTTGGTAGCACTAAGCAACAGTGCCAGAATGTTTGGAATGCGCTTCTCTCGCTCGAAATGCAAGTTGTTGCTTCAAAACTCGCCTGTGTCAACACCCGAACTAAGGATAGGGAGTGAAGTAGTCGAACGCGTTGACAACTTCACTTATCTTGGGAGTCTGATCAGCCCTAATGGGTTGGTGTCTGATGAAATCTCAGCACGGATTCGAAAAGCTCGTTTGGCTTTTGTCAACTTACGTCACCTATGGCGAAGGCGAGATATCCGTCTATCAATAAAAGGACGAGTATACTGCGCGGCAGTCCGTTCTGTTTTAATTTACGGAAGCGAAACATGGCTATTAAGAGTAGAAGACATTCGTAAGCTACTAGTATTTGACCACAGATGCCTTAGAAATA